GTATGCTATCCCTTGTATGCTATCCCTTGTATGCTATCCCTTGTATACTATCCCTTGTATGCTATCCCTTGCATGCCATCCCTTGTATCCTGGCGACCTGGCAACAACCTCGCGCGGATATTTAATAGACATGACATATCGTACTTACTGCATTAGGATTAGCCATATCTTAGTCCGTCTAGGTACCTAAGTCCTAGTAGTTGCACTGTAATCACGCCTCAAGGCTGTGCTGTGGCTGTGCTCTTGTCGCAAAGCCTGGCACCATGTCGTTCTCCTTCTAGATCAGGCTGTCTCTAGGCTCCAACTCCCCTTGCATCCATCTTCCTCCCGGGATAATCCATCCGCGACCGGTCTCTGCTTTCTATTGCCATAGTATGTATTGAGACAGGCATTGAGTCGCATATCAGGCACGCATTGGCGGTGACCATAGGTAGAGGGCCGGCGATAAGCTCGAATGACCCTTCAGCCCACAATCACAGTCCGAGGCAACTCGATCCAAGGCGCACTCTTTCCAAAGACCTCCACTGCCTGTCCAGGATTCCCGGTCAGCAGATAGAGCCTACCGGCATTATCCTGAGGCCGTCATGAGAGACCGTTCCTTTGTGACTGACCTTTTAAAAGGACAAGCGAACCGGTGTGACAATGGATGATAGCACAGAGAACGACGGCCAGGAACAGCACAATATTTTTCACAGGATCCTCGCACCGCTTACTCGTCTGTTCAGTTCATCTGACCACAAATCAAATTCAGCTTCTCAGTCAAAGGCTGGCTCTTCCATTCGAAGCGCGCCTCTAAACTCGCCTCTAATACAGCAGAAGGAACAACGCAATAATCGTCCTGATAGAAAGGACAAGATGCAAACTGAAATCTCCATGAGGCATGAGTTTCTGAAACAATCCATCGAAGATGGCTCATTCTGGGAGATGCCCGACATTGAGCTCCTCCAACTGATCAAATCCGCCTTCCCCCAAGAACTCGAACGGCTGAAGAATGCCACATTTCTCCGCAACCCAAATGCACCTCGGCCAGCAGGTCTTTCGATTTCAGAGTCACTATACGGACGCGGACAAGAATTTGCCGAGATCAATCGCACGCTTGTTGGTGTTTTGGCTCTGCGCTGGATTCACAAAGGTGACTACGAGACTTTTGTAGGGACGCAGGGCCCGCCACCCATTGTGTTGAAACGCGATTCCTTCGACTGGCTCTGCGACCTCTTCAAAAAGGGCCTCAGAGATGCAGAAGACACCTACGCACTTATAATTTCAATGATCATCAACGACTTGGGCAAAGATCCCACTCTTGCCACGGATTATGCCAGCCTGACAGGGGACGATATCCCCGAGGTCAACCATGACATGATCCTATATGATGCAGTCAAAGCGAGAATGGTCCCTGTGCTAGATCGCTTGTCAGAGCAAGATAAGGATTATCTCGTCTTGGGGATTAAACTGGGTTCAGACTTTAATTTCGGGCAACTCGCTCAAGCGGAAAATGCACCAGCTTCGCTCTCAGGACTCGAGGAAATGCGGGGTCATGATCGAGCTTTTGAGATGCGGTTCATGGAACAGCTCCTGGACCTCGCAGGAGCGTCTGGACATGAAGATTGGACCTGTGCTAAGAAAATGATCGAGCCAATTTTCCAGTCGTATAAAAACGTATATGACGTTGCGCACGGCATCATTCAGGCGCAGATGAGCCTGCGGGAAGGCTACGATATCATTCTGAAGAGAAAGCTGAAATTGCTCCACGAAGCTGGCTATCCGCGACAGTTCGACATCCAAGACCAAGCAGATCGCGCCCTGATGCGACTGTTCTGTCTCGGCAACACATCGAACTCGGAGAACGCTGATGTATTCTACGTCGCTTTTATGGAACGTCTTGCAGAGGAAGTGCGAGAGACGTTGGTACACGGCCTCAATGTGGACGGGTCGGTGGAAGCGCCCGCTGTGCAACCGACATACCTCCCAGCGATGCTGACAAAGGCTTTGGGAAACACTTTGAACGGCACTCAGGAAGAGAAGATCAAAGCGGTCACGGCAGTGCTGCGCTATCTTACGCGATGCATGGTTGTAGAGGCCTCGAGACTGAAGAAACTGCCGCACAGAGTGACGGTGGTTGAGAGGGACGTCAGAAAGATCAGCCCTGTGCTGGAGAGCGAAGAATTCAAGCACAATCCAGATATCCTGGACCGGGAAGATATCCCGGAGGACCAAATCGCAAACATGGCTCGAGACTCTGAAGAAAGGACGATTCTTTCGGGCGGATAACAACAACATCAGGCGAATCGGCGTTGATTACATTTCAATGATAACCACTGGAAAGGGCGACAACATGAATCAATATTCTACGTTAAATCTGGGTGGCAGAGGACACTGTAAAGGCGTATGGGGGCTCAGAGTACCTCTTATGGAGTTGTTCGGATCGACGACAACCTCGGCTACCGAAGTCTAGGGGCCTACATGACACTTAGCCATGGGCCCATGTTTCTTCAGGACCAGGTTTGATCCACCATCAGCGATGCGAGATTTTGCCGACCTCCGAAGGCCGGAGATGGCGAGATGGCGAAGATGGCAGATGGCGAGGCGGTTAATCACGCAAGTGGCAGCCTTGTCCACTTTTTCCCCTTATCGGCTTCCTCAGCCTTTCGGCCTTGCTGCCACGCACTGGTGGCATCATATCTCAATCTCTTTCCTCTCTGCCATGTGCTCTTGTTGAAGTCCCGATTGTCCAGGACCCACTGAACTCCCAGAGGCCTTCGTCTTGTCAAATTGTCATCATTCATGGGAGCAGAATGGAACGCGTGATACCGAGGCAGATGGTGCTTTGCGGTGCTCCGAATCTGGCTTTTTCTTGCCCCCTTCCTTCCCTTCTGCTGCTCGTTTCCTTTGATATCGCCGTTTCATTCCTCGCCGACCGCTGTTTATGTTCCTTTTTTATTGTTCTTTTTTTCTTACTGTTTGTACTTATTCTCTGGACCTTACTGTTGCCCTGTCGTTGAGGCGAAGTATCGTCATTGGCTCAAATTTATTCCTATTCCTGTTCCTCCAGTCTTCGCCACTGTCTCTTTGACCACGAACAGCTGACAACAGCGAATTGTCTGATCGAGTCCATCTGGACCTGTCGATCGCCGCATAAAGTCAAGCAAGAATGTCGACATCCCCTGCGCCGTCGTCCCAGACGCCGGACCGCTACCAAGAGCCTCACCCTCCATCTCCAACCGCCGGCCAACTCGACCAAGTCAAACAAGCCATCATATCGCTTCTTGATCAACCGGGCTATGACGACGGCAGCGCGGGTCCCGTCCTGGTGCGCCTCGCGTGGCACAGCGCCGGCACATACTGCGCGCAAACCAACACCGGCGGTTCCAATGGGGCCGGCATGCGCTACGAGAAGGAAGGAGGCGACCCGGCCAACGCGGGACTGCAGCACGCGCGGGCCTTTCTGGAGCCCGTGAAGCGGCAGTTCCCCTGGATCACGTACGCCGACCTGTGGACGCTGGCCGCCGTGGTGGCCATCCGCGCCATGGGCGGGCCCGAGATTTCCTGGATGGGCGGACGCACCGACTTCACCGACGACTCCAGAGTGCCGCCGCGCGGCCGCCTGCCCGACGGGGCCAAGGGGGCCGACCACCTGCGCTTCATCTTCTACCGCATGGGCTTCTCCGACCGCGAGATCGTCTGTTTGAGCGGCGCGCACAACCTGGGCCGCTGCCACGCCGACCGCTCGGGCTTCGAGGGCAAATGGGTCAACAACCCGACCCGCTTCAGCAACACGTACTTCAAGCTGCTCCGCCTGCACGACTGGAAGAAGAAAACCCTGCAGAACGGCATGGTGCAGTATGTCTACGTGGATGAGGACGCCGCCGCCGCCGCCGAGGATGAAGATGAAGAAGAACCGGAGGAGCTGATGATGTTGCCTTCGGACATGGCCCTGCTCGAGGACGCCCGCTTCCGCATCTGGGTCGACCGCTACGCGCGCGACAGGGACCTCTTCTTCGCCGACTTCGCCGCCGTCTTTGCAAAGCTGCTCGAGCTGGGCATCCGCCGCGACGGCGAGTCCGGCGCCGTGCTCAACGACGAGAACCTCCAGGCCGGATACCGCAGCGCCCCGAAGAAGAGCGATTCCCCGACCGCAGCAACCGAGCAGGCCAGCACGGGACAAACGTGTGCACATACACAGGCCAAGTTATCGAGCAGCAGGACAAATGGATCGGCTAGGACGTCAAAGTTATAAGAGTCCGCGCGTTTGTACGAGGAACTGAACCTATGTATCTCTGTGTGTGTGCATGTGTGCCGTGGGAGTCTTAAAAGGTCCTGGAATTCGCTTTCCTTACGTGTTTTGGGACTGTCCTTGTCGCCTTTTTTGGGGTGTGGTTATCTGCTGTCCTATGGGGCATTACTCCCCCCAACTCCGGCTAATGCCTTCCTTTGATCGAGAGCGCGACGTATGCGATGGTGTTTCGATGGCGGCAATGATGGGAGGATGGGAGCATAGAATGGAAAATCGCTAGACAAAGATACCCAACTTACCTACTAGGTACATAGATGGATAGACCTCGAGCTAGACTTGTTAGACTTGCTAGACCGCTATTATATGAAGACGGGATAGATGGAAAATCAATAGGCGGACGAAACTTCTGGCAGGCGAGGATAACCTTCTTTCCCACCATCTCGTATTACACGATCAATGATCAATTATTACTGCATTAGTCTAGGAACATCTCAGTTTCCTTTCCCCTTTCCATGATATTAGGTGGTTGATTGTGATTGCGCCCCCTACCAATGTCTAATCGTGACCAACACCCTTTTATTCTCCCCCTTCTCATCTTCAACGCCGCCCTCGAAATCCGCGCCCACCTTCTCCAACACATCCCAGACCAACTTCCTCTTCAGGCCTTCCCTGACGGGGATTCTTTCCAGCGGTTCCGACCCGCTGAAATACTTCACAAACACGGGCCAATAGCGCCGGAGCAGTTCTGCGGTTTCGGCTTCGGCCTCGGAGTCTGACGAAGCCGGCGAGTCTGCCCGGGAGGAGGAGCTGCGAGACGGGGAGGAGCTGATTGTGGAGGTGATGTAGTCGAGCCAGCGAGATTCTTCGGGCGAGGCGCGCTGCGGGGAGATGATTAGGCTGGCGGCTTTGGGGTTGTGTTTGAATTGTTGTCCCCCGCCGCGGACGCTGGTGCGGTCGGTGGAAATCGATTGGCGCCCGTCGCTGGATGGTCGACGAGGCATGCTGGGACGCTGCTTGAAGGACGAAATGGCTCCTCCGCCGGCAGGAGTTGTGTTTGGCGTGCCGCCGCTACCAAAACTCCTCCCAGTCCCCGTATCTCGATCACGGTCGCTTGCGCTTGCTTCCCTCTCGAGACCGGGAGTTCTCGAGGAGCCCTTGGATTCTTCGCGCTCCTTTTCACGGACCGCTTTCTTCACTTCCGGGTCCACTCGGACAAACGCGAACGTACGCAGCTGTGTGACCCAGCCGTCGCGCATGAGCCAGGCAAGCACTCGGTAGTACTCTTCCTTGTGGTCTCTGCTGGGGATGAGAGTGCCGTACGGTGCGGGAGTACCGCTTAAAGCGTTCAACATCTTTGGCAGAGACGGCATCATGGGGAATGTCGCCTCGTACGTCTTGCACGCCGACACCAGCCTGCTCATGTTGGCGTTGGGAGAGACGATATATGTATCGCGCTGGTGCAGCGGTGGAATTGCTATGGCTCTGCGCCAATATACGAGATGACGAGCCAGATGTTGAATGTCACCCAATGCAATTTGAGAAGCGAGCGATATCTTGTAGAAGGATTTGGTCGGCTTCAGATGTCCAATGAAGTTGGTCAGCGGCATTGCTAATGACCCTCCCGCAGCCTGGATGTCTTTGAGAATCTTCTGCGGGCTGGATTTGAGCAGGAGTGTGAAGTTCTTGGATAGCTGCAAGGGACCTGTAGAGGAGGTTGCGTCCAGGTCTGAGGCCGTAGACGTTGGATCTGTGGCTGTAGTAAGCCATAGTCCTGGTTGAAGTGGGGGTTCCGATAGAGATGGAAGATAAGAAGTCGATGTAACGGGAGGAATCTGGAGAGACACGGACAATTTGGGACTGAGTGTGATAGCAGCTATTTTGGAGGCCGAGATATTATCGAAAACTTTCGCAATGGCAGCAGCCAGAGGCGAACGTTGTTTCATTTCGGTATACAGCACTTTTGTAGACGACCGTTGGTGAAAATGTGCCGACCTGATGGACTGCAGCAGCTCAGACTGTTCCCAAACATAATCATGATGTGACTGCGCCCATTTCAGCACTTTGGAGAACTTCTTCACGACATGGTCGTACATCTCCTTGACCCGAGCTGTATGCTCCAGTGGTGGAGGGTCCATGACAAACACCACGTGAAACATGGTCAACTGACTCTTTACACGTTCCTTTGCATGGCCATCTTTCTTGCTGCTATGGTCAGTCGGTGCGGCTTCGTCGTCATTGACCTCATCATCCTGGGCACTGTCACTGAGTGTAACCTCCGGAGAAAGGCCCTCATCTTCGACTGTCCTTGACCTTCTCACCTTTACTTTTCGCCAGAAGCCGTCCTCTCGAGCATAGACTGGTCGGCCCAAGAAGGTCAGGTCGTTAATACCAAGCTCAAACCGACGTTTGTGCCAGGATCTTCCTGGGGCTAGCAAGCTGACCAGACCATCTTCTCCGAGGCCAAGGAGCGGCTCCCACGAGGGCTTCCACTGTGAATTATCCTGTGTCCCCCTCTTGCTCAGATAATTGCTGTCCTCGTCATCAGAATGCTGTGATTGGTTTTCCTGATTCTGCGTTGCTGTCACCGCATTCCCGAAGCGTCTCGTGAACAAATCAAAGTCCTCCTCTGAAGACGACTCCTCCGAATCACTGCTGGAACTTTCTCCGTCATCGTCATCTGTGGACTCGGCAGCATAAGAAGGTCGCTCTGCTGAGAGCGGGTCCGGAGGGTAGTGGAAGACAATTTCAGCGCCTGAGCCGGTTCGGCCTTGAACGACGAGGAGGATTGCGAGCAGCGAAGGGTTGAGAGATGTTGCAGATGTAGACATAGATTAGGTATTTATCACCATCAGGCACGTCGGAAGCACGCGTTTACAGACCAAAGACCCTCTTTCGCGGTCGCGGGGAGGTGAAGAGTCACAACATGACACGTCCAATGAGCCTCAGACTCCAAGAGCGGCACCCGCCTTTCCGGTGTGGTGTGTATTAACAGAGTATAGTGCCTCATGTGAATAAGGGACCCAGCTGTGATGCTCACGACCAGCTCAATGCTCTGACTCGGTTGAGTCCGTGTGGGAGGTCGTATTGGTGACTGTGTTAGTGGTGGTGGCAGGGGGAGGATATTAAGCCAAGTCGAACTGATCCCACAAGTTCCAATGGGCTGCAGTCGGGATTGGGGTCGAACAGGCAGTAATGGTAGTGCGTGAGGAGGAACCGCAGGCAAACGCCGCAAACCGTGAGTCTTTAGAGGCACCAGACACCCACAGAGGACTATTGGCAGAGACTAGTAGTAGTAGTACGAGGTAATAATGGTGGCAGTGAGAGTAATCGGGGGACGAAGTAGTAGTGCCAGCAAGCAACAGCACCAGCACCAGCAACCAAGCCCCTCACTTGTTTTCGGTTGTTTGCGGTGATTAATACCTTTCAGAATCACCAGCACTAATTAATACCAAGTGAGGATTGAGTCTCATGAGTCGGTCGGAAGCAGCTTGTTCAAGCCCCGTCCTGCTCTGCCCGTCACGCCGTCACTGGCCCCCGACTGCTACTCGCAAAATGCCGCGCTAGGAAAATCGAAATTCAGTTCAACTCACACCCACGACACCTTAGCTTGACTCTCCAACTCCACGAAAAAGACTTCTCTTCAATACCCACTCACACTCACATTTCTTCCTCCATCTCCTCCCCATCTCGTCGTCCCTTCAATCCGACATCCTCGTTCCTTTGTTCCTGTCCAGCGTTCTCGCCTCCCCTCGCGCTTCTGGCGCAGGACAATCCGGGAACAAGGACTCCGCTTTGACTTCCACTCAAAAGTTTTTGGGCCGCATCAGCTCATCCCCCAGACGACCAGCAATAACCGCGGTCGACGTTTGAGCCTGTGACGCCGTGCTTTCTCGCTCTCCACGCTCTCACGTCAACCTGTTCCTTCACGATCTCCTCCCGTCGACAAGAGAACTTCGTTCGAGACGCACAGAGTCATCCTGTCGGGACCGTCCTAAGTCTCCGGTGTCCAGGCTTGCCTCGGTTTCTTCACCAAGTCAACATTACTTGGCCGACAAAATAGCCGCGACATTATCCTGAAGGACTTCGCCATTGCAGTTACGAAATTGCAGAATTGACGACCCAAAAGGCGGCAGAGGATACACTGGTGGAAATTTGCAGTTGGTCAGCTGCGGAGTCTAAGAAAGGCAGAGTGACGGGCAGACAGGTGGGCTTTTGGCTCATACTGTAGGATCATCCTTCAACAGACTAAGGATATTTCCCCAACATTCCCTACAACTCTCTGTCGCGGCCTTGGTCGGGGTATCTCCCTGCTGAATCCTCACCTTGACCTCACCTATCTGGCACTGGTCAGTGTGCAGACAGGGACCGGCAGAGGGAAAGGACAGACTTGTGGAAGGAAATATCACTACCACAATTAGCACCTGGCTAATACTGGACTCTCTATCTTTCGGCCAGCTTGTTGCTGGTGAGGGGTTTTGTATTGTGGTAGTGGAACAGGAGGTGTAGTGTGGGTTTGATCAGCACTGTCTGCGAGAATGTCGTCCTCCTCGGGCGCAGGAGCGCCAGTTTTTTCATATGCACAGGCCGCAAAAGGCCTCACATCAGCATCTTCAACACAATCGGCTTCGAGAAATGAAGGCTCTGCCGCGTCTGACAAGGGTGTTAAAGATCGGTCTTTGATTGAAACGACTAATACGACTTCCACGGTCAAGTCTCCCCAACCAAGATCTGAATCCGAGGACAAATCAAACGGGGAGGGCGCTGCGTCTAAGTCCCCAATACAGGCAGAGGGTCCTGCGGCAAAGTCATCTGCTGAGGATGCAGACAAAGAAGGCGCCACGCCGCAAACCCAACATGTTGCGACACACAACAACGCCGAGATCTCAACAGGGTCACATGTCGGGACTCCCAATCTTGCGCCAGCCCAAGATCAACAGAAAGGTGACGCTGTCCCACAACTTCCGAATGGAAGATCATTGTCTCCAGAGGAGCTGCCCGGCTCTACCTCAAGCGACAAGTCTAACCAGTCCGTCACTGAAAAGAAATCCAGGGATGGCGAAGATGACTGGGAGAAGGTCTCAGTCCCTTCGGTGAGTGCCGAGGCACAATACAAGGCCGCCCCTATCCCGACTGTCAATATTTGGCAAGTGCGCAGAGAAGCTCAAGCGGCGAAGTTGAAGGGACTAGAACAGCAACGTGGTGTAGCTTCCAGTGCCCCTATTCAACCACCAAAGCCCAGATCTGGCAGTGAAGATATTAAACGAAAATCTCTCAGCAAAGAAAGTGGCAGTTCGGAGAAAGAACGCAAGAGCGTTGATAGCGCGAAACCTGTCCCCCGAAAAGATACATCGTCCGCTCGGTCCTCTCGGCCTGCATCACAGCACGGCGAGAAGGTTGATGTGCATGCGCCACCGCCGGTGGATGATGCACAGTCATGGCCAACGCCTGAAAATTCGAATGTTGACGAGCGTCGCAAATCAGCTTCCCTCGAAAAGACGGATAAGCTGGATGGAAAACCCGGTTCCCAGAAAACTCACAGTAACAAATGGGTTGCAGTTCCGTTTGTTCCCACAGCAAAGTTCGAAACGCAGCTTCCGCCAGCTGCGGCGCGACGAGGCGGCAGAGGAGGCGGAAGAGGACGAGATATTGGTGGTCGTGGGGGTGGCCATGCAGGTTCCGCTGCGGAAAAGCAAGATGGAACAACGTCCATGGGCCCACCTCCTCTACCCAGGCAGTCTGGCGAACAAGACCGGGGTCGAAGATCTGAAGGCGAGCGTGGTCCACGCGGTGCCTCCGTTCCTAATACCAGCACTCGACCTACAAGCGGTGAGGACGCAAATCCCACGTTCTGGAAGTCTTCCGCATCTTACGTCAAGGATCAATCAGCATCCGAAAACGCCCCGGCCGACCCAACGGCACCTCAGCATACTGTCGACGAGCAGGCTCCAAGAACTGATCACAGCTCCAGGTCTTCCTCAAGACATACCGGGAACGTTGGTGGTCGGATGACTAACGGAGATGGGACTACCTCGATCGAACAAGGGATCAGCAGTCACAGTCAGACGAACGAACCCATCGCTCGCTATTCGTACGGCTTCGACCGATACAAAGGGTCTGGGACAGGTGGATCCCGAGCCACTGGCGAATTCGGCAGAGATCGTGGTTCTGGCAGGAACCGAGACTGGTCCAGGGACAAACCTGATTCGGCTCGCGAGAAGGTCGAGTCCTGGCGGGACCGTGAGCCGTCGGGTGATCAGAGCAATCGACGTGAGCCTCGATCTGAGCGTGGACGTGGCTATCGCGGCCGGGGCAACAACAGCTATAACACAACATTTACCGCGTCCCATGCTTATACGTCACCTCTCCCGCAAAATGGATTCGAACCGCCGTCCAGAGCTAATTCACACACTGAGACTCGTGCGAGGCAAGCTTCGCAGCCATTTGTACCAAGTCAGACCTCCAACTCTACTCGCACGAACCCGCGTTCGCAGTCGATTCCTGTCGGCATGATGTTTCAAGGGTACTACAATGGCATGCCGGCCATGCCACAAGGTCTGCCGTCCATTCAGACAGACATGTCAATGTATGGGTATCCCTCGCAAATGCAGATGCAACCGAGTATCATGAGTGCAATGCCGTACAATGATCCATTGAACTCGTACGCCTTGCTGTCAATGGTCATGACTCAGATGTAAGTATTCCCGAACCATGACTCCGAAAAGTGTGACCGTTCGCTAACACAGCCTCCAGCGAGTACTATTTCTCAATTGACAACCTCTGCAAGGATCTGTTTCTGAGAAAGCATATGGATGGTCAAGGTTACGTCCCGCTAAGCGTCATCGCTAATTTCAAGCGTATCAAGACTCTCACTGAGGATAACATGACCATGGACAACCTTCGCTATGTCTGTCAGCAGGTGAAGAGTGTGGAATTCCTGCCGGGAACCGATGGGGATGACCGACTCCGTCGTCGCGAAGGCTGGCGTGATTTCGTTCTTCCCGTAGAGGAGAGATTTGAATCAGCCCGCAACGAAGGACCCTTACATAACCCGGAATCTTACAGTCACCCGGCGCAAGCGGACCAGGTTGGTCTTTATGATGCATCTTTTGCCTTCGGTCAATTGCGCAGTCCGCAGCTGGCCGTCGGTCCCAGCAATGGAACGTTTCACGCAAATTCGCCGATGTCTTATGTTCCTGGGTTGCCGACAGAGAACCCGATTTCTGGACAGCTACTTGTCCGTCCATCTGAAGATGGTTCTAGTGATGAAACTGAGAGGCCTTCGATGGTGTCTTACCAGCATGTTGCTCCGGCTGCTATGCGATCTCCCCCACAGCACGCTTCGGAGCCACTGAGCAACATTGTGAATGGTCATCATCGACAAAGTTCTCGCGCTGACATTGAGGACAACATTTTCCCGGACGAGCAGATCCCGAATGTCAACATCCGAATGCAACCAACCGCTCTCAGCGGGGCAGCGCCGTCTTTTCCCGGTATCGATCGCGTCCCTTCGGCCGGATCTTCTGGTGGACAGAATGAAGGCAACAATGTGCCTCTGGACCTAAGTCAAGCTCGTCTCCCGAGTCTGCGCGGCGGAGCGAGCAGTCCACAGCAGTAAGTCATCTCGATCGCCGTCACGACCGTAAGACTAACGGCCGGGTAAGGCTCGAGCAATACCGCAGCTTGTCTTTTGGGGGCCCATACACAATTCCCACGGGCGATGAAAACATTATCTACTTCACCAAGGATGGTCAAGAGACGCAACTGCCGCCTCCACAACCAGGACAGTTTGACCAGACCTATTTGTCACTGCATGACATGGCCTTCCAGCAGCGCCAGATAGGGGTCGAAGGAGCTCTAGAGCCGCTTTACAATTTTTGGACCGATTTTCTTGTCGACAAGTTCAATGTCGGCATGTACCAGGAATTCAAAACGACCGCGGTCGGCGATTTAGATGAAGGCAGTGATAGCGGCATGTCGCATCTTGTGCGCTATTTTGGCAAGCTCTTATCCGCACCTGTTCCGATCAGTGAACGTCTTGCTTCCGACATGATCGCTCTTTATCGAGACGAAAAACCCGATAAGCGTCCCATCTTCCAAACCTTGCGAGCTGCTTGGCGCAACGGAGCTACAAACATGAAGACTATCAAACGACTCGGCGACATTCTCACTGCTGAGGAAAAGGCCGAACTCGACAAGAGCGGCTAGGAGAAAGCCCATACCTGCTCTCGTTCGCACTCTCCCCGGTGTACCACGATGCCATTTTAATCAACACCATGTCTCTGCTCATCTTCGCCAATACGCAACCCGATGCGAGAAAGCCACTTCGGTGATTGAACGAATATTCCAAATCCATGATGGAATTTGTCAGATTAACATCACCTGAGATCATTGTTGCCATGATCTTTTACTGTTCGGAAATGATTCATTTCATTCGCTTCGAGCTACCAGCACTCAACAAGTTCACCACAATTGATTCCAGATTCTTGTACAATGCACATGGGCTTTCGTACATCGAATCACCTTTCTCGATGTGTGACATGTCCGACACCGAACCGGAGCGAGTTTTGTCACCGATCGTTAATTTTCAACACAACATTTCAACAAAAACACACCTGGAGTCCATCTCACTGAATGGGGAGAGAGAAAAAGACACGCAGCTTTTAGCAGGATTCAATGGCATAGCGGCGCATTGAATGAGGCTTGAGAATTCCCCATTGGGACAGCTCACGACCAATTATGATCGAGATACCACACCGCGGTTTTGCTCAGCACATTTTTCTTCGATTGTTCAGAGTAATGGCTCAACTCTTTTTTCTTCACTTGAAAGGCATAGTTATGTCTCTTGCATAGACCTCACAATGTTGCACAGGGAGGGCAGGGAGGGCAGAGCTGAGCTGTGGGGCGGAGTGGCCGGGGACACACGGTCATGCATGCACTGGTTTGAGTTGTCAAGTTTAAGGGGGAGGAGAAGCGAGCTGTGAAGGAATTTCCCCCCCCCCCCCCCCCCCCCCGACTTTGACCTTTCAGTACCTGGCGACCGAGTTATGCTCGAATGAGCCTGACACTGGGCTCGGGGCTCAGAGACTGCAGGGAGACAGACGCTCATTCGACTGGAAGGACACCTTGGATCGAGGGCGCTCTTACGTACCGAATACCGTACCGGAAGCAAGGGATGACCACACCAATCGTTGCATGTCAGAAAGGCAGAGAGAGCGAGAGAGCGAGAGAGTCCTCTTGTGGTCCAAAGATACCCAAGCTACCACAAAATCCCCATAGTCCCCTATTATTCTTCAATGAGCGCAAGGCAAAGGAGGGGCAAAGACAAAAGTTTGTACACAGTATCACGAGACCCAGGAAATCAGAATCAAATTAGGTGAAAAATGAAACTGGTTTTATTGTGGAAACCACCAACTCAGACTGATATCTTTTTATTTCGATCAGACTGGCGTGCCAGCTGGATGTGCATTATATACCTCGTATTATACGATACGTAAAGGCCGTGATGAGGAGCTAGCTGCTATTATCAGTGGTCGTTGAAGAGTTACGGCATCCAGGTTGTGTGGCTCGGCCGTGGTCATGGGCGTCCCATCAGGTTGCACCTCAAAGGGTGATCTCAATCGTCGGGCTTCAAGCCGATAACTCTGCTGGCGTATAATCTCTTCCCTCCCTGCTCGTTTGCGTGCGGTATGGATGGGCTTGCCTTCTTCAGCTATGTTGGGGCGCGCTGCAGGTCTCCTCGAAGACAACCGGCGAGCATTCGCACTGTAGTAGGGCATGCCATCGTCCTTGGAAGTGTCTTGGAACGTACACTGATGTGAATCGTCGAGCGGGGTTGGCCCCGGAAGCCTCTCTTCCTTGTGGATGGTCAACAAAGTCTTGCGATGTAGGCACCGGACGCCCTCTCCGTTTTTGGCGCTATTCCATTTGCTCAGCTCAAGTCCAGCTTCCACAGCCCGTCTCCCAAATAGTGTCCGGCACTCATGGCGACTCCCTTCTTCTTTGCCTTCATTTCCTCGGTCCCCACCTCCAAGATCCCAATCATGCATACTTCTTCCTTGCCTTCTGCCGTGATGGCGACAATCTCCCCGGCCTTGACCTCTTGGTCCTTGTCAGGTAGCCAGCCGCCAGCGGAGATGAGGCCGGGGACCATTAATGTTGCGCCGGACAGGACGAAGCGGATCGCGCCGCGGTCAATGCGGAGGTGTTTGAAGCATTTGGGGTATTGGTGGACTAGTTTTAGGTGCGGGATCAGAGGGTCGTCCATGTGTTGGTAGAAGAGAGGGTGGTCATCGAGGACGTAGAGGGAGACGCGGTCGGGACTAGAAACCGGGTAAGAGTGAGTGAATGCACGTTGAAGGGCAAGAAACGTCCACGATCTTCTGCCTGTCCGCCCAAGACATTGGTCGCGGGAGGAGAGATCTCTCGAGGGAAGGGACGTCGCAAACATTCCAGCTCTATTTCCCCCCAGTAGCGACGACATCCGGGAGGGTGGCAAAGCACGCGACAGGTTCCTTACAGTTTCACCAAATCCAGTTGACTCTTCTTGGGCATGATATCGTCAATGCACGGCTCGAGGTCCGGATACGTCTCGAGGACTTTGGCTCGGATGGCCCGCTGAACCGACGACTTCACTTTGGACTTTGCGCCCGCCGACAAGCTGCATTTCCACGTGTGAGCATTTGATCCTCATTTGCGGAGAGAGGATATGTATGCCTACTCCTTCTTGAACATGGTGCCAGGACTGTGTCGAGAACCGGCGGTAGTAGAGGGGACGGTTTTGGCAGAGGAATTATGGAGACCGCAGGGCCTTTGCATGCGCAGGAGGGCGTCGAGGGGAAGACGTCGGCCAAGATTTGTCACACCAGTTTTGGAACAGAATAACGCCGCCCTTGGAAGCAAAAGATGAGTGAAAGCTGCAGGCACCCAGTGGGTACCCAGCACCCAGCTCTCCAGCAACCCAGCAGGGGACTCTGTACTGACTTATCCTCCTGCCGCTTTTAGCACGACTTGTCTTCTCTTGACCTTCTCACACTCTCAAATAATAGAACCCTTGAATCACTCTATCAGGAACTCGATATATGGATCTCAGATTTCCAGCGGCCTTGCTGTCATCTAAACTGTGTATCGTGAAGGGGGACGATGTCCCTGTTAATCCTCCAGACTTTTCGTGGAAGATGTTCAGTCGGAAGGCACCATGGCTCGCTAGCCTGACGACGCTTGTCCAATACCGAGCAGGGCTTCTGTTTTTCTGGCCAGCATTTTACTACTTAGGTAAGGAATAACTGCGCCTGTCCCGCTGCGGGGCATTTCCGAGCAAGAGACAGCGAGAAACCCTTAACCTCTATTCGACGCGGCCCTTATATATCGACCACAAGATTGTCCATTCAAGGAAGCATATCTAGCCAGAAATGGTGTTGTAGACCAGTCAAATGGACAAGCACCGGCTATCTGTGGTGTCCCCTCAGTGTACAAAGGATGGCTAAAAAATGAACACTGGCACGCCTCGCTACTGTCAAGCACTCTCGAGAACATCCTGAATACTAGGGCATAGCTACCTAAGGGAGGCGCCAACCGTTCCTAGCACAGAACTCGATACTGATATCACAGCAGCAGGTCATGCATCAGTGCCCGGCGCCAACAAAATGCCCAACACAGCAGGCAGGATTGATCTGGAGGCATACTCCATTGTATGGCTTTGCCCGCTGCCCGTCGAGACAACAGCCGCACTGTTCATGTTTGACGAGCATCATGAAGGAATCATCGATCGGCAGCATGGTCGGTCAGTCGAGTATCACTTTGGAAGAATAGGCAGCCACAACGTAGCAGTTGCTGGCTTCCCTAGTGGCGAGGTAGGAATTGGCAAGGCTGGCGCAGTAAGTCGTCTCAACGCTGAAAACCTCCGGTGAATAGACCTTGCCAAAGCACTTGGAAAGGTTTTTGTTGAAGTTTCTCTTTGTTCCAACCGAGTTGAAATTGTCGCCAGCCGTTTACTCTGGCTGATGCTGTCCCAGATGGCCGAAGCTGTCACTCGCGACTTCAAAAACCTTGAACTTGGCCTCCTTACTGGAATTGGAGCTGCAATTCCTTCAAGCACCAGGGACATCCGGCTCGGAGACGTGGCAGTGGCAGATCCGGAAGGACAATATCCTGGCGTAATTGCCTACGATATGGTCAAAGTCGTGCCTGGCGAGGAACGGCCTAAGCAATGGCTGAACGCAACTCATCCACTGTGGAGGAGCGTTATCTCCAAGATCAGAGCTCGTTCAGCAGTCGTCGGCGATACCTTTCACCAGCACTTGAAAGCTTTCGACAAACCGCAAACTGAAAAATTCCGGTGCCCCTACCTACCACCACCCTTACATTCTGCATTCGAGGACAACCGCCGCGATTCAAACAAACCAGTTGTCCATTACGGTACTATTCTATCAGGAGATAAAGTTGTTCGGTCCACAGATTTCAGGGACAAGTTGAAGGAAAAATACCATGATCCCGTCGCGCTCGATATGGAAGCTGCAGGAGTCATGACTTTACTGCCAGTGGCTGTGATAAGGGGCATTAGCGACTCTGCCGACCCTTTCAAAAACGATCAATGGCACGCTAGGGCTGCTGCTGTGGCTGCTGCGTACGCAAAGGAGATGCTCATGCAATTATCTCCAAAGTCACCACCAGGTAAGTGATGGTGAAGCCTTCTCAAGGCATGAGGCAATGGCCAACGAGCTCATACTTTGGAACAATGTTGGTCAACTGCTGCGACTGTAGTGGTCTGACGATGCCGTCTCTGTCGCGTGTGACGAAATCCTACGTCGATGTTAGTTCAAGACTGCTAAATTGTTACTCAGGTACGAAACATGAGCCCAAGACAAAGAGGATGCTCAGAGGCCAGCTACCGTCCCCTTGGGACTTCCATGGACGTGAACAGGAGCTCGCAACTATCGCAATGCATCTAGACAGAGGACGGCAAAGTCTGTTCGAGAAATCCGTCCTGGTGCTCTCCGGTCTGAGCGGCGCAGGCAAGTCCCAATTAGCACTGGCATATATTAAGAAGCAATTGGCTGAAGACCCAGAACGTGAAATCTTCTGGATCAACGGCCGGGACAAAAGAACCTTCGAGGCAAGCGTAGTCGACATCCACGGTGACAAGAGAAAGTCTCAAATCTCTGCTGAAACCCAAGTTACTGAGGACACGGATAAAGTGGTCACAGAGATTGTTGAGTCTTTTATCGAACACTTGAACCTGCCAGAAAACACAGGATGGCTCATGGTTGTCGACGATGTGACGATGTGGAATCCGGACGCAGGCCTTTCAGAAAATGCTGCTGAATTGAATTGCTACCTTGACAGAATCCATCACGGATCGCTCCTGGTTACGACCAACCGTCAGAGTTGGCTGACGAGCCATGAACACGTGCTGTCGCTCGATTGCCTGGATAGTACGTCTGCCATCACGCTTCTCAAGTCAAGGCTACGTAACCACTATACCCGGGAAGAGGGTATGTAAATTTCAAGTCAAGCATCTCTTACTTACTAACACTGCGTAGACTTGTATGACCTCTCCCAGACGCTTCAGGGCCTGCCGCTGTCACTCAGGCTGGCCATCACATTCATCCGCAAACGTGGAATTAGAGTGACAGACTTCCTGAAACTGTGGAACGAGCGCAAGCTGGATGATACCTTCACCTTCATTGAACCGAAACTGGTACAGACCCTGAGTCTGTGTTTCGATGAGCTCAAAGCGAGAGACCCCAATGCGGCAAGTCTGTTGACCGTGTTCGGTTTTATGGACCATCGAACATTATCATTTGACCTATGTTCACATGGTGCTTCGTCGGACTTGCCACGATGGTTACTAGACTTTGGTCAGAACAAAGACCACTTCGACAGAGCTATCGAGTCACTCCTCGATCTGTCGTTCATCCAGTTGAACAACGACGAGACCGAGATCGCCACCTATTCCATACACCCATCAGTGCATTCTTTTGCCCGCAATAGAAGTGGTAGTGCAAAATCGACCTTTATACATTGGGCAATTACACTCATCGCAGACAATGTCCCCCGGACAAGCGACAAAGATTACTACAGACGGTGTCAGGCGCTCTCACCGCATGCTGATCAATGCATGGTCTACATGCAGGCTGGGAATCACGAGCCACACCATCTCGAACGCCTAGGGGCATTGTACCGCTTGCTTGGCCGATATGATAGCGCCCGTCGACTGTACACAGCGGTTCTCGATGTTCTGTGGCCACATCGAGGATCATTTCTCGAAACGACAGCCCAAGTACTCAATGACTTGGGGCTGGTTTACTTTGGTCAACGTAATTTCGAGCTAGCTAATGAGACCTTTCAGGAAGCCATCGATGTCTATTCTCAACTTGATCATCCGTGGCCAGACGGCGCTGAAGACACATTCATGTGTATCATCTTCAATCACGGCAATGCTTGTCGCATGAAAGAAGCACTTGACGAAGCCGAGGACGACTTCAACAGAGTGTACAAGTTCTTTGAAGAGAAAAGGATCAAATCCAATGTCTCAGCAGCACCGTGGATTGAGATTATGATTTCCAGAACACTGAATGCTCTCGGTGAGATTCGTCTTCAACAAGGAGAGACGCGGACCGCTCTGTCCATGCTTCAGCGTGCGGTCAGTCTGCAAAGTGAACATCTAGACAGTGCCCATCCGATCGTCCTTGCCACCACCAAGTTGAACATCGGAAGAGCTTACACCGATATTGGTCAATATCTGGAAGCTTGCGATATCATTCGCGAAGTGGCCGACAAGTATGCCGAGCTGTGGACAGCTGACCACCCTTCCGCCGTGACGGCAAAGAGCGAGCTGGCCAGAGCCTGCATGGGATATGGGCAGATGATGGCGGAGCTGCAACAGACCTCGGATCAGTCTCGAAGAGGAGATGTTCTTCTGGAAGAAGCAGAACGACTGTGGGTGGAATGCCTCCGCTTCTACGGCGACAAATATGGCGAGACCTCGGAAGACGCCTTGAGGACCAAAGCCAACATTGCGCTCCTTCAGTCCGTCACAGGCGACCTCACCATGGCGAGAAGGAACATGCTACAAGTCTTCCAGCAGTCGACGTCTCCGCCACAGAAAGTCAAAGCGCAGTCCGATCTCGCTTTGATATGCCAGCAGATGGGCGATCTCGGGCTTGCCGAGAAGCATTTTGCCCACGCGGTCGAGGCGAGTAAGCTCCTGCCCGAGCCCAGCAGGACACGGGAGCTTTCGCGTTCCATGTATCATCAAGCACGTCTCTTTTTCAGCCTCGGAGACCGTGACACCTATTCGGCAATCCTCCAGGACCTCGTTACATTGCAAGGGATAGCAGAACCCAGCGAGTGGCGGGAACATGCAGCCAACGAGCTAGCGAACTCTGGAGAGGCTCTTTGACTACGATGATGATAATCCAGAAGCCACGTTGGATCAGAGTCAAGATGAGTTGGTGCTCCCGGATAGGGTGCGTAGGAGAAGGTGGCAAATGAATTGAACACGACGACAATTTGATCCGCAACGATGGGTGCTGGAAAGTGTGGGTTACAAGGTATTTTCATACCTTTGATACCTACCTAGGTATGCATAGTGAATCTGACTCCGCCCCATATCCATACCTAGAAGCACCCTGCTCTCTCACCCTAGCCCTTGGCCATGCCGTATTCAGCCCAGCGTATCCCGATCGAATTCTACAATACCTCCCACCGATGTTCACCCACTTCGGCCCATACCCAGAGCGCAACACTTGAATCGATAAACCAAAATTGGAAAAATGAACTTGATAGTCCCACCCATGTGATGTACGTTGCATCCACAGTGCAGAAAGAATCTTCATTCCTCGCGATTGGATAAATGAAGGGCTCAACATCAAATAGCCGGCTCGACATGCGCATGGCGAAACAAGTCGTCCGTGATCAATAAGCTCCCACTGGACGTCCAGTGGTCGAAAATCGCCGAGAGTAATATATTTTTTCAAGTTCTGCAAGGGTTTGACGGTCGCTAGAATCATTGCCTTCGGGGAGATCGCCAAACGATCCGCAAAGGTCGCTAATTGACCCTTTCAAAACTACGGTCGGCCAGGTTTTATTAGTCCGTGGGGGGACTGATTGGCCACTGTCGTTGCTGCCAACTGAACCGGCTGGCGAAGCTGCGCGAGAATAGCTATACGAACGAGAGGGCGTCTTCGGGGAATTGCGCCTGTGTTTACGCTGGAAAGTGTAGGAGCTTTCAGACTCGTCGTACATCTTGTTGGACCGCGTGGCTTCTGGGAGATCCCTATCGACTTCGATTAGATAATTGTGGGAGGATGTGCGCCGCGACTTATGTTTAGCAGGTGGGCTCTCCTCTCTCCTCTCAGCAGTATGTGGACTTGACCTGTAACCGGAAGCATGCGTTTGGCTCTTCCCGTACTTCAGGTCCGAATCTACAGACGGAGCCGCGGCCCTTTCTGATGCTTTGGGAATCGGTGCGGTGCGGATGCGTTGAAGGCCAGCTGGCACCACATTTGGTTGATGCATGTCAGGATATCTTTCATGCTGACCATCTTGATCCCGTTCTCGATTTCGGTTCACTCCGGATGGAACACCCTCCTCAACGTGGACCTTCCGATAATTGACCGGGATCCTAGCCGGTGGCGGAGGGGTGAAGTAGTCTTCAGTCTGAGGTGAGTATGCAATTTGTCTCTCACTGTCGCAGCCACTTTTCTGGGTTCTTCGTCTTGAATATCCCTCCCACTTGCCGTCTCCATTTTGGTATGTATTGGAGGGATTCAGTCCGATATCTAGAGAGTTTGCGTCGAGGCTCTCAATGAGAACCCCCTCCCATCCTTTTTCCGACCGAACTTTGCGACTCTCTTCGTCAAGGCCACGAGTTTTCTTGATCCGAGATGTCGATCGGCGAGGGTTTCCTGCGGCTGACTTGTACTGACCTGGTGATTTGGACCGAAAGCTCGTCTTGGGCGAAGGCTTATTCTCAGTGTAGTCCAAGTCGCTATCAGAAAGATCGCCAAAAGTAAAGTAGCTAGTCCTCCTTGCCCGGAGTTTTTCGCTTCTTTCTCGCTTTTCCCTGTCCGCCCTCTTCTCCTCACCTTTGCTGCTTTGCAAATTCTGGAAAAGTCTCGCTTCGACTGCGGCGGCTGCTGCAGCTGCCGCCATGGATGGTACACTGGGCGGAGCCTTCTTCGTGTTCTCGGCAGGTTTGGACAGACGAGGAGCGGGAGCCCTCTTGCGTTGTCGGGGCCCTTCAACGAAATCTTCATAATCTCGGAACTCACGAACAGGTGGAGGAGCTTGTCGAGGCTGGGGCTGAGGCGGCCTTATGGGGTAGCTTCTCGACGACCTGAAGGTGCTGGGTGGCTGGCCTGTCATCATTGCCTCTTTCCGCAGCTCTGCCAGCCTGACTCTGTCATCGTAGCGTGATCTCCGTACGGGATCACTGAGAAGCTCGTAGGCTCGCTGGATCTTGTCAAACTCCTCCAAGTGCTTCTCTCGGAGTGTCTCGTTCTTTATGCGGTCGGGGTGATACTTGAGGGCGAGTTTGCGATGTGCAATGCGGACAGCCGATCTATCCGCGTCTTTGGAAATTCCGAGGGCGGCATAGGGATCAGGAGGCAGAGGAGAGGCCATGATCGGGTCTACAACAATTCAAGTCAAGATGCGGTTGCGGTTGCGGAGGTCTGGTGTGGTCCGGGCCACCAATGCACGAAAAAAGTAGAGGAGAAAGGAACTCGGGTGTTTGGTTGAGTTGGAGAGGCGATGGCTGTATTGCCTGTGTTGGATGGAAAGAATAGAAACTGCGTCGTCTACTTTGGTGCAGCTTCGAGGGCGAACAACGGATGAGAGTTGAGGGAACAAGGCGCAGACAGACTAACAGACTGGCACGCACACCACACTTTCTTGTCGAATGTTGGCTGGAGCCAAGCTCTGTACCGAGTACCTCGTACACCCTGCACAGTTCGCCCGCTGCTGCCGAGCACTAGCCTTGCACTGTTGGCGTTGGGTGGGCGTAGGCGTGCTTGCGAGGTCAGGCTGTGCTTGATACAAGGTCGAGAGGCTAAGGGGATCAGAGGGACTCGGAATGCATGATGGATGCTACTAAGTACCTGGTAGATGCGGGGCGCGGGGCCCTGGCCCTGGCCTTGGGCAGTGCCCGTTGAGAAGCCTCACTAGGCTCAGAATCATTGCTGCTTGGACCTTTTCAGGGGCCCACTGAGCTTGATTGGAGAACTCATTTGCTGACATTTGTCAGAGTTTGGACGTTGTTGGGATGCAATCAGGTGTGGCATGGAGAGTGGAAGGTGAGGCTGAGGCTCAGGCTCAGGCTTGAGCTGGCCTCCTCCCGTCGACCAATCCTCCAGATCTACAATTCTACCGCTGCGCACCACCTTCAACTCCATCCCTCCTTGTGTGTTCCTCTACTCAATGATGGCGCCCAAAGTGTCCCATACAGTCTCTAGGTCGCGCTCCCACGATGATAACAAGGTCTAGGTTTCTCACTGTCGATGCCTCAAGCTCCAAGTTGACCCGCGAATGCTTAGGCGGTGAATGCATCTCGCCCATTTACAAAACACAGATTACGCTCGTCGAAGCAATCAATCCATCTCCCAGTCCCTTGTTCTTCTCACCATGCGTTATCCTCCCACCCTTTCTCCAGACAAGATTCACCACTCCAGCGTGTGAGGGAGGCTGGAAATCCGAGAACACTTCTCCAGGGAAGGCGAGTCGGCTACCCCCTCGAGGGCGTCGCACAGGGCTTCGGCTTCGGTATCAATGGTGTCTGTGCCTGTCACCCGGATTGCTGGCTGCAGCTTCCTCTTGGCCATCTTCTCATTCCGTTGATGCTGAGCAAGAATTGCAAACAAGTCAATCGTACGACCTGTGCCGTTGATCAGTCAATTGCCCAGGGTGTGCTTGGGAGCTACCTCTTACCTCCGCATTGATATGCAAAATATGAAGATCTTGTTGCGCTTTTTGTGTCGTCTGTTCTGGACAAATTGAGGAGTTCTTGCTCCAGCATCCACTTCGACTTCTCTGCGACCTTCGCGGGGGCTGTGTGTCCCTCTTTGACATAAAAGTCGCATTGAACAACGACCTCCGAGCTTGACCGTGGGAGAAGCACCATCGTGCACCACAGGTCGTTATCGAGTTCCTTGATGATGCTCAATGGGCCGAGCAGTCGCACAACTTTCGACTTGCGAAATGCAGAAAGCCACTCAAACGGATTCTGCGCCCATTGAGCTTGATTGGAGAACTCATTTGCTAACTTCCGTCAGGGTTTAGATGTTGTCAAACACCAAATTAACTTACCGATGTCTTTCCAATTTGTTGGGCAAGTTACTTCCTTCCCATCTACCCACGAGCAGCTCCCAAGGTCCACGTGAGACTTGACATTATTGAAAGGAAGATTCAGCGTGCTTGCATCGAAGTTGACAAACACCAATCCTTCTCGCGTTGTTATCAACTTGATCTCGAACAGACCATTGTCTTCAGGTACGAATCCTGGCGATTCATCGAACTTTGGAGCCTTTACCAATGCGCCCTTGTCGTCGTACTGCCAGCCGTGGTACTTGCATGAAAACCGGGTCGAGGTGCCACAAGTTCGGCGGACCACGGTGTATGCGCGATGCCGACAAACGTTGTGGAAAGCCCGCAGCTTCAAGTCCTTGCCCAGGACGACAAAGAACGAGATACCGGCAACGTCATAGACATGATAGTCACCGGGCTTGTCAAATCTGCTACGGTGACAGGCAAAGAGCCACGTCTTGGAACCAGTCAGTTCCCGTCTAGCTGACATGATTGCTGCGACGAAGTGAAGAGTACCTTGCTGAAAAATGCTCTTTTCTCGAGTTGAAAGATCTCGTCATCTGACATATCCTCCTGCTTCTTCAAACTGCCCTTTTCAGCCTGATCAAGACTTGATCCTGGGGCAAAGGATTTGCCGTCATCATGAACGAGGTTGAACAGCAGACGTCCAACAAAGTAAACAATGCAAGCAAAGACTGAAACATAAATGGGAAGTGGAGAGAACAGGGAGCCCGATAGGCTCTGGACTAGGCTCACGGCCATACTAGAAGGGTATGCCTGGGCTGGGGTGATGTTGATATCGTGTCCAACACCAAACAACAAGGGCATCATGATTTATGAATACGGACGAGACCGTCGACCTGGCCTGCCCGTTTGGCCCAGAAAGGCATTTCGCAAGGAGGATGTGCTGCCCGAAACCTACTGGAAAGGCGGCCAATTACCATGATTGACGCAGGTGATTGTACCCCATAAACCCTCGGATCCGACACCAATTATATTCTGAGTCGTCAATTACTCGCCATGATATCAAAGCTGACGCACTGGTTCGATGACAGGGAGAAGCGCCATGGCTCAACTGGGCAATACGATCCCGCAAGCATCAACCCAGCTGCCCTCCCGTCTCCAGTTTTGACTTCTGCGGAAGTACCTCGAAACCCAAACCCAGTAAGGAGTTCGCACATGTGAATCATTCTTCCAGCTATGAATAATGATGATCCTCTTATGGACCCTCATTTGCACGTTTTGCGCGAATGGGAACACTGGAGGTCCATGCGCCACAATCCATCATTTGGTCGGTATTCGAATACCTCTTTTGGAACTCAATGTCAAGGTCGGCATCATGCGGATCTTATATGCTTTACATGGTTGGACTCGTTGATGATAACGACTTGAACTATAACGACGTCGATATACGCCCCTTGCTTATCAGAAACACTGGGAGATATCAAGCAGAGGCCATCACTTAGCCATGGAAGCAACCAAAACACTGCCAGCGTCGTGGTACATTTCACAAAATCTTTACTCCCTCGAACAACGAGCCATATTCTACAAAGCCTGGTACTTCGTCGGAGCTGTCCCTCGATTTGCAGTGGAACGGGAAGTCGAGTATGAATTCGCAGGGGTTTCCATCATTGTCCAACACGATGGGAATGAGAACTTTGAGGTGAAAAGGAAATCGGATGTATGCTCGCGGCCCACGTCATATTTGTATCGATCTCTTTTTCATAACCTGTGTGTTTCTCAATCTTCCAGGGCGTCTCTCTCGCATATCGCCTGACTCCCACGGGTGCCTTGTTCGCCACCATCGACCACTCTGCGCCGCCGTTTGAGGAGTGGTTTCCACCATCTCTTCTTGAGCTCCTGTCCCGGTACAATTTCCGCCGCCTACCTCACCGCCGCTCCATCAAATACCCCGGACGCTTCAACTGGAAAACCATGGTCGATGGGTACCAAGAATGCTTGCACTGTCAATACACGCACCGCAGCTTCAGTGTCAAATACCCGCCCACTTTTTACGAAGTACACAACCACGACACGTATAGCCGGCACATTGCCGACCCGCAGAACCCCAACGACGGTTTGTTCTTATACTTCTTCCCCGTCTGCACCCTGAATCTGTACGGTGGCGGTATGAGCAGTTTCCGCGTATGTCCCGGTGACAAAGTCGGCGAAACTCGCATGGAGTTTGACTACTACTATGACGATGGCAAGGGCGGCATGGAAGGGTTTGAGGAGTACTACAAGTTTGTGAGGAAGGTGGCGTTGGAGGACTTTGAGCTGTGCGAGGTCGCGCAGAGCAATCTGGAGAGAGGCGTTTATTCGCAGGGGGTGCTGAATCAGGTGAAGGAGAGTGGTGTTTTGCGTGAGTGTTTCCTGTTGCGTCTTGCACATCTCTGGATCCTTGGACCGCTGCCCTCACCCGTCCCATATTTCTTGAAGGACATGCCACGTTGGATGTATCGCACTGACATGATACCACTCGCCCTTTGCAGATTACCAACAACTGTCTAGGAAGATGGTGGTCGAGAAGTTCAAGGAGGAGGAGGCGGAGAAGAACGCCCTCACGCCCGCCAGCAGTCGAGCCAGCGGCGTCGGTGTATCTGTCTCAGCTTGACGCGTTGCGTTGATTCGAGTTCATCGAGCGACATGCCTGCACCGTGAACGAGCAATTGAGGCTCGCTCAGCACCCGAGCAGAGCAGTGCAATCCAGTGTCCCGAAGAAAATGTCCAATCCTTGTCATTTCCATGGTCCTTCCTCGGTGCTTGCTCTTTCATTATTAGACACGGGTGCTTCAAACCTTTCAGTCTTTACGAGTGACCTTGCTGTACAGGACCTGCCCTCCGTGCTTTGACGTTGTGGTTGTCATCATCATCACCAGCACCAATGCTTTTCGTTGACTGCTTCCAGCCGGACCTTCTCTTTCTCATTTTGATTTCTCTTCTTCCTCAAGTTTGTCCAACTGCCTCAGGATAAACGCGATCGTAGCATCCCGCGCCTTTTCAAGCTGCTTCAATTTGACTAGGGGCATCTCGCTGTACTCGATCTTCTTGGCTAGGCCGGGGGAAGACGGTGTCTTTTCCTCGGTCGTGGATGATGCGGGTTTTGTCTTGTCCGCCAGCAGCCCTCTTAGCACGACGATGCTGCGGTCGCGCTCGGCGAGTTGGTCGGCGAGGCGGGATTTGAGGGCAGCTTCATCATCATCATGACCATCACCCTCACCAACACCAACACCAGCAGCGTCGTTGTCGGGATCGGAATCAAGAAGTCTCCGCCTCTTAGAACCCACCCCTGCACCACCACCGCCGCCGACGCTCTCCCTCCATTTCCTCACCGCCTCCCTCGCCACACTCTCAATATGCGTAAACCGCACAGGCCCCAATAACACGCCACCATACCATCGCGCCACGACGACTACCCCCTCGACGTCCAGATCACCCAGCAAGCGCTCGAGACGTTTTCCGGCGTATTTCTCCCCGTCGTCTTCGGAGCCCGTCGCGTAGAGCGCGCCGGCGCTGGATCCGGGCGCGGACGCGCTGAAGAGGGTCTGCTGACTCGATCGCCGCCGCCACGCGACGATGCGGTGGCTCGCGGTGGTGAACGAAGGGTGCGCTTGCAGCCGCTTGACCGTCGCTGTCAGCGATAGTTCCCGTTTCGACCCGGATCCGCCGGATTGCTGCTTCGTGACCTCGAACACACCCGACGCCGCGGGGTGGAAGTGCGCCACGAACGTGGATTGGCGGTCGTGGATCGGCGAGGAGATGAAGATTCCTTCATTTGCATTCAGGTTGCCTTTGCGGGTGGTGGTAGCAGCTTCGTCCGTGCGGACAGGGGTTGTGGTGTCTTCTTCCGGCGAGGCAGCTCTCTTTCCCCTCCTCTTCGTCGTCGTCGGAGGCGGAGGCGTCTGCTTAGATGGCGTTGGCGTGGACATGGTGGGGATTGCAATTTGCAAGCTACATGATGATGATGATTATATCTTGATGTGGCTGGTAGTGGTGGTGATGATGGTTCGTCGTCAGCGAGGTTTTGATGAGTTGATACCTGGTAGTTGACCCCGTAAACTCGTACAGCCCCAGAGTACCTAGTAAGCAACCTGCAGGTTCAAGTTGGGGGCGGCAAGAGGAGTGAGTCGCCACACCTAAACCCCCATTAGCCATTTTCGTCCTCACGAACCCGAAACTCCACAGCCACCTTCGTAGGTACTTTGGCTACGAAGATGTTTCCTGACAACCACCTATAAGGTATCTGAATGTCTTTGACCACCTGCAACCTGGGAAGATGAGGGCCGTTACAGCACGACGAAGCTGGCAAACACTCCAGGTCTTTTTCCATTGAATCGATTGAATTATGTATTGTTGATTGCAAACGCTAGCAGAAAAACTTGAACCAGCAACATGATCCTTCCTTCCTTATTACCGACAATCCAGCAACCCGAAAAAAGAATTATACTTGTTATAGTCGTATAGTGAAGCGCTGAAAACAATTCCATGCAAAGCAAACGAAACCCATTAATGCAAAGCCTTTCCTGTAACCCTTCCTGTTGAGCCCTTCCTGTTGAGCCCTTCCTTAACACAACCCAAGCAATAAACGCCTAAAATCCGCAGTGCAATGATCCATGTGGGTGCGATGAGTTTCATGTTTTTCTTAGTCATCCATGTCTTCCCACAAGTCTTCGTCGTCGTCTTCGTCGGAGGAAGCAAGTGCGCTCTCCGTGTTTCCGTTCATGTCGAACAGACAGGGTTTTTCGATCTTACGACCGAGATTGGTAAATGGTTCTTGAATTTCGCTGATGGCGCTCAATGGATTCATTGAGGTCATGCTAGTATGATATGAAGAATTCCGGCTTGATCTTCGCGACCGGATATGGCCGCTCTTTGCATGGACGTCGGACATAGGGCTAGCCATGCTTGATTTGGAGAAACTGGAATCGCTGCGGAAGGGGTTTGAGTCCGTAAAAGAGCTTGCTGGGCTCGTGCTGGCACTGATGGTGGCAGTGATGGTTGAAGCGGAAAACCCGCGAGTGATTTTGGTCCCAGTGACTGGGTTGTAAAATTCGATGGCGACAGTAGGTTCGGTGCTTGCCTTGGAGCTTCGGGAGCTTACAAAGCTGGTGGTTCGCGCGTAGTGAGTTCTGTACTGATTCCAGATCTCTGGGTCCAAGCCAACAGGAGGCTGCGAGCCCAAGTGACCGCAGATAATGTCGCTCAGGTCGTAAATGTCTTTGTGAAGGTGTTCCAATTGCCACTCTGGAGAGGCATTGACGGCTCGGCGATATTTTCCGAAGCCGGTCATTTCTGGCAAAGGAGGAAGTGGGTGTTTTGAGTGATCCCAGAAGCTCTCACTGCTGTAATTGCGCTTCAAGTCCTCTTGGCTAAGAGACCGAGCGGTGATGTCTGGTGGGCCTGATGGTGACCTGCGAGGTGTGACATGGGTCACGGGAGGAGTTGAAGAAGCACGCTCGTAGTTTGGTCTTTGTGATACTCTGCGTAACGCTCCTTCACGCGGTCTGCGTGATTCTGCAGAGACGGCTGGACTCCAGACCGAGGGCGCTCCTACAATCACGGTCAAACGCCGTGAGATGAAAGAACAAGATTGGACTTACTGCTGAGACATTGTGGTAGTGGCTCAGGGGCAACCTCAGTGATGAGTTTGAGAGCTGCTTCAGCTTCCTGGTACTTCTTTTCCAACTTCTTGTGCTCGCTTTTCTCAGCAGCGGCTAATTGACGCAGAGGTCAGCGTAAGTCAGGCCATGCTGGGGTTTGGTGAGAAGAAGCCTACCACGTCCGACAATCAATCGGGTGATTCTGTCCCAGACAGTCATGTTTGCGACTTTTTGTGAATTGTTTGGGTGGAGTGAATCTGAGAGGAATGAGCTGGGGATGAAAGGTGTGATTATGTATGTTTGTTTGTTTGTTTCTGTCGAGAGAAGTGTATGTTGAAGGATTCAATACTGAGAATCAGATGTGTAGAGGTTTGAGATGAGAATTCGACAGAGAGAGGGCGGCGGTCCAAGTTATAGCAGGTGAAGGGGATGGGGCGGTGGATTCGACGAAAAAGTTTGAGGGTGAATGTGATACCGTTGACACCGCAGAGTGAAAGGGAGGTGGTGGTGGACTCGAGGGAAAAGTTTGATGGTGAATTTGATACCGTTGATACCGTTGATGGAGCAGGTGAAAGGGAGGTGGTGGTGGACTCGAGGAAAAAGCTTGATGGTGAATTCGATACCGTCGGTACCGCTGGTAACTTTCAACCTGGTTGTCGTCGACGGCTCGTATTGCGGTGTCAATGGTCCAGTGCAGGGACATTACCCTGTATGTAAAACCCAAAGTGATAAAAAAGTCAAAAGTGTCGCGTCTATTCATGCCAAAGCTAGGGACGGCTGGTATTGATGTGAGGAGTGAAGTGAGCGACAATGGGACTGGCAGACTGAATCCACCTGCGCCCATTGATTGTTGCTGTACCAGTCCAAGTCGCAGGCGCAGTTGCAGTCCGTCGTAACGATCCTGGAGTGCAGACTTTTTTCTTTCTTCCCCCCTCTGTTCTTCACTTTTTCCAAGCTGATGATGCTCCACGCCTGACTCCAGTATTGGTATTGATGATGCCTTAGGCACTGCCTCCCTCTGATCCCGACGCGGCCAGCTCAATCTAGCCCCCTGCGGACCCAGACAAGTCTTGCCTACCCACACACGACAACCATCATCATCACACTGTTGCAGAGCATCACAATGTTCAGTGGCTGTCCGCTGACTGTCAACAGGCTCAAGCATTTATCAGAGTCTTTCAAACAGCAGGGAGAACAATCGATCCCAGAATTCGAACACCGCCAGTTTGATTGGTGCAAAGGCACTGGAAGGTGAAAACAACAAGAACAAAGAAAATAGTTTTGGGAAGGATACATACTCTTCAAGTACTGGACAGACCGCCCTATGGCAGGGCAGGCCAGTCCTTCACAAACGGTGCAACGTGTCGCACAGATTGCATTCAAGGGGATGTGACGGCTCGCTACTCCTGTCTGGCCGGTCATCAGCTTTCTTTGTCTGGAAGAACATGTAGAGACTCGCGTACGTACCAGCCACATCCATCTCGCTACCACAGTTGAGATGCTAATGCTGCTCTAGCTCACAGACACCGGCAGTGACATCCGTCCAGCTCACCACGAAAGCCATCTGGTATCACACCGACTTCTCGAATAACGCCCCCCATGTTCTCCTGAAAGGTCGAGCCGACATCGGGAGCACGAATAGTAACTGAGAGAGTCCAGATGGTGGCTGACTGACCTCGCTTATCCTTTTGGGTTGTTTGTATCACCTAGCCAACTCAAACAGAAGATCATCACCTGAATGGCTATAGCACCTGATGCTGGCAAGATAGGACGGAAGCAAGCAGCCTCTCACGTCGATCTTAAATCCGAGATCCAATTCACTCACATGAGATCCGATCTTGGACAAAATACAGATCAGACATTCTGAGACAGAAGCCATCCTGTTTGATGGTAGAGACATGATTTTCAAGTCAACTACGCTGAGCTCACCTGCAACCGAGGGAGGATGATACATCACCAAACGAGGATCAAGCGAGATCAAAACAGGTGCGAGCAAAGAAGACTAAATCGGGCTCCACGAAAGAAATCCCAGATCCAGAGGTTCCTTGGTCGTGAAGGATGCAGAGATTTATGGTTGAGCTGACTGCACATATCCGTCGGACATCGCTCCCGTGGCTCCTTGCACGACCTTGAGCCTGTATAGCTTGCTAGTGGTTGTTGACGGGCTTAGGTTGACGAACGAAACGTTGACATGTATGACAGCTGTTGAAGAATGCCAGTCTGCCCGCAAATCGTGGAGCCCCCGCCCACCAAACACGACACCCAGCTGCTCCGGAGGGCGGTAGCGCTGGATCGGAACGCTGGCGACACGAAGCAAACAAGTTTATTATTATCAGCAGATCTTCAGATATATGTGCATACCTGACGCAGAGACCGCTTCAAACCTCCGCATGTCTGATGCAGAGCATCCTCATTGTCCCTTGCGCCTGGAAACCAAGGGAGCTTGACGGGAGCCTGAAGGGAGCCTGAAAGGGGGTTCAGAGAAGAAAAGTCGGGGAGATGGCTTTCCGCCCCCATGCGCCACCGTCTCCTTTTATCAGCAACTTAGACTTCGGGGACACAGACCAGCAGACTTGGCACTCCGACTCCCGATATCAGACAGAAAAAATTGAACCTAAATGGAAGGTAGAACAACGCCGAGCTGACGGCGGTGAAGGAGATTGGGATATAACAGCAGACGACCTCAAACATAACGATCTCGACTCAAGTTCGCAACGAGGTTATAGCATCTGGGTGCCGTCCTGATCGAAGAACGAGATACACAGTTTGTCCTTTGCGCACGAACAGACTACGAACCATGGCAACGTAGGTCCTCCTCCCTGGGTTCTGTTTAGTTCGCACAACATGATAGCACGGCATTTTTGTGTCCTTGTCTTGTACTGCAATCCGAGCCTCTTGGGATACTTTTCCTTGATATGTATATCATTGTCATTCCAACCATCCTTTCCCGTCAAATCGAGACCCTATGCCTCGATTGCTTTGTATTTCTGTCTTCTGCAAGGGAGAAACTTTGGTTGACTCCACAATACTCGCACAACCCGTCCCCTGAGAAAGAGACCAAAAGAAACAAAATGTCTTGACACAATACTTACCACCTTGAATAGTAACATTCACTTCCACCCTTCGCCCTTGACCCCTTCTATCCGGGCAGGGCTTCTCAAGCAAACCGGTCTGACGATCTGGCTGACCGGTCTCTCCGCCTCGGGAAAGTCCACCATTGCCGTCGCGCTGGAACAGGCCCTCATCCGCAAGCCATACAACAAAAACGCCTACCGTCTCGACGGGGACAACATCCGCTTCGGCCTCAACAAGGACCTGGGGTTTTCCCCGAAAGACCGCGAGGAGAACATTCGCCGCATCGCCGAGGTCGCCAAGCTCTTTGCAGACTCGTGCACCATCGCCATCACCAGCTTCATCTCTCCTTACCGCGCGGACCGCGAGCTCGCCCGCAAGCTGCACGAGGCCGAACGTCCCGGCGGCGAGTCCGGCTTGCCCTTTGTGGAGGTGTGGATCGACGTCCCCGTCGAAGTCGCCGAGCAGCGTGACCCCAAGGGCCTGTACAAGAAGGCGCGCGAGGGCAAGATCCCCGAGTTTACGGGCGTCACGGCCCCCTACGAGGAGCCCCTGAAACCCGAGGTGCATATCCGAAGCGACAAGACCTCGGTCGAGGACAGCGTCAAGATCATCATCAAGTACCTCGAGGACAACGGCTATTTGAGCACCCCACCCGCCGTCGATGACGATGAGTAGACGGGACGTTCTGCAGGCGGGCGATGGCACAGAACCTACATATCACATCTGTAGCTGGAGAGGAAATGAAAAGGTAGCTAGGGTGGGGAAAGTGGACTTTGCTAGCTGGACGAGACCTGGGATAGATTGGGAAGGATTTGAAAACATGGGACTTTGGAGGATCGGAAAGGCACACAGGGGAAGATTAGATCTGTTCCCTTTTTCATTTGCACATTTGTCTTCGCTTTCAGACAAGACAGACAGACATAAGAATCAAAGCCTTTCGCGTTTATTTACTAGATAGCATGCAGGCTTATAGCGTCGAATTCACTTCATGGGAAACGCCTACCATTCTTTTGCTTTCCTTCGCTTTTGCCTTTACGCTTTTGCCTTGGATGGCTTTTGCCCATTTTGGCTGGCCCCTCTTCCTGACAGGGCTATCCGTTCATTCATTTAATGCCCCTCGTCGACAAATTCACACCCTCCCCTGGTTTTTCACTTACTTCTCCCACGACCCAGCATCACCATCACTATCATCATCATCATCGCCGTGCTTCTTCCGCCCTCTCCTTGCGGCGACCCCCTCGACGCCTTTCCCCCATTCCCCCGCCCGTTTCCCCCATGTCATCATGCCCCAGGCGTGCTGCCAGCCGAATTTTGGCGGCGGGTCCGGGTGGTTTCGGTAGGGGGAGGCGGATTCGTGTTTGAATAGGGCGGAGTGCTTTGGGTCTGTACCCACGGACGTCTTTGAAGATGGGGTTGAAGCTGGATCGGGGCCGGATGTCGGCGTGGAGTAGTGGTCTCTTTTCGGGGTTTCTGTCGTCGCTGGCTGTGTAGTGTCCACGATGTCGTCTGATGACACAACGCCAGCGCCAGCGGAGGTAGAGGGTTCCCAGAAACGGCCGGACCTATGAACGGGGCGCCACCACGTAGACACTGCCTCTGCATCTGCATCTCGGTCTTCGCGGCCAGGCAGCCTCTCATCCCACCACTTCCGCCCGCACATCTCCCACAACCTGCTCCTCGCACGCTTATACGCGAACCGTTCGTCCTCGCCGGTCAGGGCGGACGTGCTGGTGAAGTCTGGCCCAGTACTAGCTGTGTGTCCAACCTCCCAGCGCGAAGTATTCGAGTCTGACACCCCGTGACCCCTCCCGTTTCCGTACGTGGGACCGAAATCGGCGTCCTCGTCCGCCAGCACGGTTCGGAGGTTTGGGTTGTACAGAGACGGCGTGAATGACGGTGTGGACGAGTGCGTGTTGGACTCGGTGTAAGAAGTGATATTGGGACGGAATGGGGCCGTTGAGTCTTGGTACATTTCGGAGAAGGACTCGGAGGTTATGGACTCGGTGCTGTCTGCGTCGTCACCACCATGAGCCGTAACCGTTGTTGTCTTCATCGTCCCTGCTCTTCGAACCCTCGTCTCCGGGAAGAACAACTTATCCGGCGGAGCGGCCGCCTGAATCAACAGCCGACATCTCGCCTCGTATAGCGCGTCGAGCAATGTAATAAACCTGCGCGCCTCGTTCTTCTGCGCCAATTTCAAAACAGGCACGTCGGTGAGGATGATCGTGTGGAACGTCGAGCAGAGAGACACGTAGTCGGCCGGGCCCAGGTACGTGGCGCAGAGGGCCGGGAAGGTCGATTTGAGGACTCCTCCGTGGGTGGAGGGTAGTGAGAGGCGACGGCCGTAGATTGTTAGTGTGGTGGGGGTCCATGTTGATGAAGGGTTTACGAGGTGGAGGTCTTTTTCGAAGGATGTGTCGGACGGCGAAGGGGATGAGGGAGAGGAGGACAGACTGATGTGGTAGTGTGCTGGTGTGTCGGATGATAAGGTCGTCGTTGTCGATTCTGTCAGGGCGGTTACGCTTGAGATAGAGGTAGAGGTGCTCTTGGTAGCGACAGAGTCGTCAAGGCTTTCGACCTCGACTTCAACCTCACGCACTTCCGTGCTCAAAACCGCCTCGTCCACATCCGCATTCACATCCACAGCTAAATCATCCTCATCCCCTTCCCTCCTATAATCTCTCTCCCCTTCCATCTCCCAAACCTCACACCTCGCCCTTAGCACTTCCAAAAACAAACCAAAATCCGTCTTCGCGGCCCTCTCCCCTTCACTCTCACGACTCATGCCCCATCCCAGCCCGAAGAATCCCCCTTTACCACCGTTGGTCCTGCGCAAATCTCCAAACTCAATGCCCGCGGCCTTGCTCAACTCCTCGGGCATGCGGTTCGAGCTGGCGACCAAAACCCCGCCGAGGTGGAAAAACGCGGTGAAGAAGCCGTTGATCAGCTTCGAGGCCGCGCGGTCGGGCATTTGGAACTCGTCCAGAAATAAAATGGGAGAGTCGCTGACCGTGTCCTTTGCCAGGCTGAGCATGACGTGTTCGTGATCTGAGATGTCGGGTCCTCCGAAGAGGGTTCTCGCCGACGACGACGTGGAGTGGAAGGACTCAAGCCGCTCGATCCGCGCGCGTTCAATCCGCCGAAACACGTCGAGCATGAACGTGTTAAAGTGCCAGCGGCGTTTCTGCCGCGACGGAAGCGTCTCGTACAACAGGTCCAAAAGCATGGATTTGCCACGCCCGACCTCGCCGTAGAGGAGCATGCCCATCGGTGAATCGATCGAGAGTGCGGAATGGTGAAGCGGCGTGGTCCGGGTTAATGCTAACGTGGTGGAAGGGAGGGATGATCTGAGTGACAAGAGCGAGGAGAATATTCTTCCCCCCTTCCCCTTCGCCCAGCGGCTTTGGCTTTGGCTTTGGCTTTCGCCTTTGCCACCGACCCCATTCCCGTCCTCGTCCTGGTCCTCGTCGCGGTCGCCATCCTTTCCCCTCTGCTGGGCGCCATCTCGTGCTAGTGATGCTGCCCTTTTCGTCTCACCACCTCCCCGAACACTTCGCCCAATCTTCTCCAGCCGATACCGGTACTCGATTTCCGGTGCGTAGTCCTTCAGGCGGAAATAAAGCTTCTGCAGCTGCAGCGCGAGACGGTGCTGCGCCGGGTCTGGTTTGATCTTCTTGGTTGCAACCAGTGTGCGATAGAGGATCAGGGGATTGGTGATGCTGAGACTTAGTTGTGGAGGAGGTGTTGCAGGCATATGTAGATGATAAGAGGGCGATTGGGATTGGCGAGGAGGTTTGAGAGACAATGATCAAGGCATGCGAGGAATATGGACGGTGACAAAGCCCCCAGCTGACATTGAAGAACCCTACCCAGGTATACTCTATAGATGGTTATGAGGTGGTGCAATAGAAAATTATCTAGTGGTACATGTCGTTGACGTCGTTGTATATACGGACGCCGCCACAATCAACGCCATTGGTCTGTTTACATCACCCGAATCTCCCCACTGCAGAGGAGGAACTCGGCAGTCGAGCTGCGTCTGCGGTTCAATATGCCTTGTATTTCGGCAACTAGATAGTACATATGCTTTTGACCGTCATAGCGTTTTGTAGAGGGCACAAAAGGAGGAGCATAATGCTCCCGTCGAAGGCCAGAACCTGTTCACTCAACCAGATCCAAGCTCTTGACGTTCTGCTCCACTGCCGTCATTTCAGTCTCTCTTAGATTTGAAGCAGTGCCGCTCATTTCTCTTGATTTCCCTTTAACCCCAGGCTTCTTTTTCGACCGACCAGTGCCATTGCTTGCGCTCGGACGAGGTGCCTCAAGGATCCATTGAACGATAGCGTCCGCCCGTTCGGTGCTGCTTGGGGGGCATTCGCCCTCGCCCTCCGCGGGCCATTCTTCTGCTGCCTTAGAGGGACTTTGTTGATTGCCAACCCCGCCGGATTCGTTGCAGTCCATCATGTTTGTGCGGTTGAGCTCCTTCCCCGCCGTTTCTTCGCCTTTGTACGCAGCTCTCGGTTTTCGAGCTTTGTGTTCGGCCTTGACGAGTTCTTCCTCCAAAATTCCCTCGTCAGCAAATGCTTGCATAAGGGCTGTGTGCCTTATTCGTAACCTATTTTCTTCGGATGTTTCATCCCTGTCTTTTGGTGCCGAACTTTTGAGATACGTGGCAAGATATAGTGGTGTACACAAATTCCTCCAAGAATCCGCCAGCCCAATCCAATTGTCGGTGCGGGTTAGGATTTCAATCCAATCTGCCCGAGCCAGAGATCGAGGTGTAAGAAAGACAGGATACCCATCGCAGACACGCGCGATGCGTGCAACCATATAAGCATGTCGCTGAATCTCCTTGGTCGATGTTTGAATGAGACAGTGACAAAGCAGCAGACAGTGGAGAACTTCCATCATGAGCGGATGGAAGCTGACAGCCTCAGCAAAGTCTGGCAGAGAGAAAACGGGGTGATGTGGATCGATTTCCTTATCTCTTTCGGGAGCGTAAGCCGGTACATCTGCAGGAGGCACAGCTGCAAACAACTCGTTCAACTTGTAAATAGGGGGCGTGGGCATCGGGCGACGTCCCATCTTCTTCAGCCGATCCTTCATGCCTTCATACCTGACCAATGTGTCTGACATTCCTGTCCGCGTGTGCGAGTCAACATCAAGTAATCTCTCACCACGGGAACGATGTCCAGCTGCTGGACCGGTCACGTTCTCAGAGAATCCGTCAAGGAAGTGCGCCGTGTACTCCAAGGGATATCCTGGGGTATACTCGAAATGCGACAGATACGAGAGATAATCACGAAGCGCTCTTTTGGCATAGGTGCGGACCAACTTCCGTGCCTCTGCACATTGTTTGTCCTCCTTACTGTCCAGTGCGGCCGGATTCATGCCGTCATCTGCTTGTTGAGCCCGACTTTTGGCAAGTCCGTGCAGAGCTCGCCTGATATGTTTACACGCAAGAGTTAGATATGCTGTACCTCGAAGACACAACAGCTGGAGCTCCATGCTGCTAGGTTGATCATCGTCAGCTACACGGCCCTTTGGCTGAAATTCCTGGCCGAGCGCTGCAGCTTCTTTTGGCAGAACCAGGTCTTGTTGGTTTTTCTTGTGTTTTGAATGGTATATGTTGTTCACGGTAAGTCCATCGGTGCAATCTCGCACGACTCCCTCCAAATCGTCCATGAACATCCGGGTGACTGCCCTCGTTCTGTACGGCGACGAGTCTGTAGGCTTTTGACTGATCACATCGGTCAAAGAGTCCAGTGAAGTATGTTCAACCAGGCCCATACACGGGATCTTTTCGTGGAAGAAGTGGACATATTGAGCGTATGGATTGTGTTCCTCACGCTCCAGGACGAGTTTTGCAACGCCTTCCAAGGCTGACGCCGACTGCATCATGACGACGCTTGCGGCGATTTCATCGAACGAGTAAGCTTGGTATAGCTTCTGTGTTGCATGGTCCCGCATTCGGTGCCTCCGTTCCCGACTCAACTTCGTGTGTCCCAGCCCTCTTGGGGACGATAGGCCCAGCATCTCTGCATCGTTTCCATAAAACATCCCCTTGCTGGATTGCAACGACGTCTGCAGGTCCGAGGTACTAGTGCCATTTGCAGCACGGACGGCGAGACTGGTTGCCTCGTCGATGAGTCTTCTGATCTTGACCAGGTCAAAGAGCACGGCAGGGTGGATTGGTTGGGGACGGGGGCAGGCGTAGTTGCTATAAGCAAGGCTCTCGAGGACTTCGATTGGAAAACCGAGCCATGGTCCGTGATAGGAAGATATATGTTTCCAGTGTCTGTATCACAGGTTAGCGCTGGTCACGCAGAGGCGTTCGAGTTGAGGGGGGATTCCAAATACTTGTTGCGACAGATGACCAAGGCGGACGGCGCCGTCAAGTCTGTTGTGCGCCGTCCTCTATCCTGTACTAACTTCAGGGATACTGGAGGCGGTTGTGAACCTGGACTCGGTGTCTCTTGTTTCGCAGCACCAAGTGCGGATTCGCCTTCAGCAGATTGAGTCGTAGGCTGCGCAGGGGGAGAGTCGGGCTTGGGCTTGGGCTTCTTTCTTGTCATGATCTGCTTTTGACTTGCTCGTCCCAGGGCAGGACGGAGTGCAGAGCAAGACCGACAAGATAAAATAGTCTGTACTCAATGGCCGCAACAAGAGGGCGAGGGATTGGGCAATTGGGGGATGTGCGCAAGTCGTCGCGTCGCGGTGGACACTTTCCGAGATCCAACTGCGGGCGCCTCGCTAGGTAGGTAGGCTTGGTAGCCAGCTAGCTAAGGTACGGGGGCAGCAGCTAAGCGGCCGTTCCTTATTCGAGTAAGGGACGCCTTGTTCGAGTAAGGGATGGGCGACCTTAATTAATAATACTAAAGATGATGGCGAGTCTTGCCAGTCAAGGTTTGGACGGTGAGTGAACAATGGACCTGGTGGATGCCGCCGTTGCCACTGGTCGAGGAAATTCACCGATTGACCATGTTCCCCGCTACAGCGCTCGATTGACTTTACCGCCTTCCATCACCTTTCGATTCCAAACCCATGGTGGAAATCGTCTGTATACCAAGCAGTGAGAGGAAATAATTATTGATTACTGTTCTACCGCAGGATCTGACTGTTTCCTCCATAGACAAGATTGTCCAACCGCTAAACCCTCCACCATCCCCCTTCGCTCACTTGCGAGTGGGAGCTGGACTCGAGGGAAAGATCACCTGGTACCCTGTGTCGAGACCCCAAGCGATAGAGTTGAACTCTAGATGGGTCTCCGAGATCTGCAACGAGTCCGTGATGGTGAACAGATTGAAGCCCTTGACCTCATACTGCCCGCTGCCGACGCCCAAGAAGTTCCAATACCAAAGCACCTTGGTGCAGCCTGCGACGAGGATCTCGATGGTGGTGATACCATTCAAACCTGGTGAACTGAGAGTTCCGTCGATATACACGTCCTTGCCGACGAAGGTGGCGGTTCCGAGCTGTTTGGACAAGATGGTTATTGGGGTGGATTCCCTAAGCCGACAAAGACCTATGTGCTTACCGGCAGTCCTTCAAGCGACAAGATCGAGTCGCTGGTCTCGGTGTAGTTTGCATCGAGAAGGCTTTGTGCGGTTGCATTGGCTGCAGCAACGTCGGTATGTTCAAGGATCGAGATGTATTGGTTGACAATCGACTCCGCCTCAGTCTGCGAAAGACAGTCTTGCCAACCGCTGTCACGCCTGGGGTGGGCGGCAGCCATCACACCGGCCACGAGCGAGAGAGGGGCCAAAAGATAGATGAACTTCATGGTTGGGAAGGTTGATGAACGAATGAATATGTGAACGAACGATGCTGACTGGAGCTGGCTGGCGGACACAATGCTGGAGGACAGGCCGACCACGAACGAAAGTCAGCCTCTGTCACAGAGGTCTTCATCGAGCATTTATAGGTAGGCAACGGACGGGAAAGACGCCTGGGCTAGCAGCTTTAGGACTCCGGATGTAAGAGTTCCCCCTCTGGCAGGTCAAAGTGTATACGAGGCAACATGCAGGTCTAGAAGCTAACCGTCCCGTTAGCGGACAGTTGACTGTGCGAGGAGGCGACGACGAGATTGGTCAACTGGAAATGCACTTGTCGATATTTCTACCAGGAACTGGATCAGGCCGAAATCAGGCCCAGTCAATGGTGATCTCACGGCGTCGGAAGTGTAATGGGGGGTTCAGCTGTGGCCAAAAGAGAGAGTTTATTCCCCAGACGACGTCTGTATCGGCCATGAAAGACAATATGACCTCTGAGGGATAACGACAGAGAGCTGCATCAAGCCGACCGACGTCTGGCCGGTGTCAGTCTGAAGTATGCGACAATCCTCCTTGACCGAAATATGAATTCTATACAGGATCGTGATCGTGATCGTCAGGTCGAAGGCAGCACCAGGAGCCACAATTTTCTTCGAAGCTCACCCTTGCCCCAAGAGGCTTGAGAAGGTGCCGGACTCGTTGCGGAGCGGTTGTAGTTGTTGTTGAGACAAAAAGTCTTGATGTCATTGACTCTGATGGTGCAAAACGGCGACAGGGGTCAAGATGGAGGTGAACTTGAAGGTGGAGGCGGGAGGTGGAGATGGAAATGCAAGGTCCCGCAAGAGAAGATGGAACGGCAGTACGGAGTACATGTCCCTTGTCCGTACCTAGGCACTGTAGGTGCTAGGGAGTAGCATCAAGGTTAAAGGCTGAATTGACCCGGTGAATACCTAACCAGGTTCCCATGAGGCATGCCCCTGGACCGAGTCCTCGACCTTTACAGGTCCATTGACCGGTGTGAATGTAAGCTTTACCACGTAAGGCGGAGATGCGGGAGCAGGACGCCACACCACACCACACCACCATCAGTGCACCATCCCGTGTGCTGTCTCACTCTGCGAAGTATATCATTCGCCCAAGACGAGGTCCATGGTTGAATACCTGGGTAAAGACTACACCTGCCCTAGGTACACCGCGACCGCATTGGCTCATCTCCGGTTTTTCGTCCAATGTACCGCATCTCCCCGGCGGAATGCACAGCTGGTTAGACACATATATTGGTACACACTCACACACACACAGAGAGAGAGAGAGAGAGGAGCCCCATTTGACCAGGGCTAGGAAGTGTCATAGAGTAATAGATGTGATGGCAACCATTTATTCTTCTTTGTCTTGGGAATGGGGGAGGGGGAAAAAAGAGGAACTTTGCCATGTCAGGGACAATATCTCGATAGAAATGTCCCCCGTTCTTTCCATTATATACTTGTTCAACGCCTCTAATGAAAAGCATGTGTCCATAGCATAGCATCCACTCGCTCGCTGGCCGGCAAATCCATGGCTTTTTTTTCGCTTTTCTCAACCTTGAAATTGCAGAATCACAATCAAAATTTGCTCAAAGCGACAGGATCGATCTCAAGACTTGCTCGAGCTTCTCTTCGCACGACGAGGCCGCCGTCGCCGTCGCCGTCGCCGTCCCGGTGGATGATACCATCCGCTGCGCCCGCCACGCAACGAACCGGTCAGGTCGCACGAGAACACACCCGTCCTCGTCGACCTCGCGCCTCTTGGTCCAGTCGCGGTATTTGTCAGCGTAGTCGAGCCCAAAGCCGATTGCGAACGCGTTGATGGGGATCCCGAGCTTGTGACCCACGGCTCTGGCTGCGGCTTTCCAAGCTTCTCCGCCGTGGCCCGTGAACAGACAGAAAGCACTCTTGCCCGCCAGGTCGACCGTCGAGATGTCCTTGCTGGGCACGTCCCCTTTGCTGAGCCACGCGTGCGGCAGCCGATTGCCCGGGTACGTGCTGACGCGGGCCTGCGTGAGGTAATTGCCCGTGAAGGCGGGCTGAGGGCACTCCTCCTCGTCCGCGAGATAGACGGCGCTGGAGCTGGATGTATACCACTGGTTCATCATCATGCCCACACTGTCGCCTTCACCGCGGTGGCGTTCGAGGGCGTCAAAGAGTTGCTGACGTCGTGCCTTGCCGGCCTCGGAAGCTTCCGACAGTTCCTTGTTCGCCTGGATCCGCTCCTCCTTCGTTTCTCCGAACATCCCAATCGCTCCCCACACGGTCGCGTGGTTCCGCAGGAGCTCGTTGGACCACTTCACCAGATCTTGCCCGACGGGTTGCCGCTCCACGTTGTAGGTGTCCAGCAAGGCTGGGGAGGCCTTCCCCTGGACGACCAGCGCAACCTTCCAAGCCAAGTTGTAGGCATCCTGTATACAAGTGTTGCTCCCGAGGCCAAAGATAGGAGGATGTCGGTGTACTGCATCGCCAAGGCAAAACCTGTTCACCATTAGCGATCAGGATGTACGGTCATGGTGAGATACTTACACATTCTGCTTGAAATAGGACTCAGCAGCCGTTTCGTTGATTCTCCAACTCGAAATGTCAACCACCTCAAACGGGATCCTGTCGTCACCTATCACTGCTTTGATCAAATCGTTGACCTGGTTAGTAGCTGCCTGAGAGGAACCAAAAGCTTTGATGTCCACTCCAGGCTTGGGAAACACCACCAGGATCCATTGATGCCACGGCTTGACCATCCGCAGCACAGGCGCAATTCCGTGCTCCAGTTCGGTGTCTGGCTGCATTATCCAGTGCAGGTGTCCCATCTGATGTTTCATGATGTCCCCCAAATCAGCATTAAATAAAATATTGTATGCGACTCCTCCGGATGGCTGGATGTTGTACGAGAGCCCGATCTGAGCCGCCACTGGACTTCTTGCTCCGTCGCAACCGAAGACATAGCGAGATCGGATCTTGAATTTCTGGCCGAGGACCTTGTTCACAGCAGTAGTCACGCATCCATGGGTGTCTTGGTCGAGTTCTGCGAAACTCGTGTTGAACAGGCATGTGACACCATGAGTGGTGGCATAGCGCACCAGTATCGGCTCAAGGTAGGTTTGTGGGAGATCTAGCGACGCACAGGGACTGATGTCTGCCACCTCACCCTGTTATTCTGGTCAGCGGCTCGTGTCAGCGAGCCTCAGCTAGGGCTTTCCAAGGCGCACCATCTTTGCCGGCCCAGCACCCCAAGCATGAATTCGTCCATACTCCACCCCAGTTATAGAATAGCACCAGCGAATCGAATTGAGGGCGTCACCTCTGTTTCCGAGGCGTAGACATTCGTCTTCGAGGCCAAGATCGCGCATGCACTCTTGCAACCCGTCAGCTATGCCTTCACACCAGAGCAGACGGAAGCGATATTTCTACCAAGGCCTGCCATGTTGATCAGGTGCGCCCTAGGGGTAGCTGTCGTTCCCGGCGCGTCCGAGATGACTATCACTCTCAGCCCTGGATGCTTGCGTGTCAGTCCTTGTTCGATAAAACCAGAGGCTCACCATACCAAAGTTGATCAGAAAACATGCCAAAGAAGCGCCAGCAGGGCCAGCTCCAACGATCAAGCAGTCTGTTTCAACGTCGGCGTCGACAATCGGAATGTTCCTAGACATTTTCACCGAGGAGTAGTAACACCAGCGCCTGGTTGAAGATGTGATCGGTCTGTTCTTGAGCTCGCCAGAGGCATAGTCCTTTCAAAGAGGTACGCGGGGACGAGAGGGTCCAGCATGAGGACGAGATCAAAAACAAAGGATTATATAGCTTGACCCTCAATCCCCCTGACGGGACCATCAGTCATCTCTTCCGACAGCTGTGGGTAATTGAGTAGCTTGGTCAAAGAGGTATTCGCCCCCATCAGACCAGCAGACTGCCCCTGCCTGCCCAGCTTATCGTTCGAGAGACAATGCTTTATTTCGTTGCCGCTTACCGGTCTCATCTGGAAAGCGTAATACCACAACATCAGCGGCCTGAAGTAGAGTGACCCGCTTGTTTAGTAGATGTCAGATGTGCACTCGGTACTATCAAACAGCTGATGAGACCTTGTGGTTGGCCAACAAGGCTGCCCATTCGCTGCGCCACAGATCGAGGATGGTTTAGACGACGTCGCTGACAATAAGCCCCGAAATCGATCCGGCTGTTATGATGGTAAACAATGGAGCGGCTGGATTTCCGGTCCATTTTCCCTCTCCATGCCACGATCACTCAGTGTAGAATCAGAAATCAGGGAGCAGCTATTTTCTGAGACGAGAAATATCCTGGATGGAGAATGGGCAAAGGATTGAAAGAGCAGAAGAGAGAAACCGGGAAGAAAAGCGGACGGATAGGAGTAAATACCCCGGTAGGAAAGGCATGTATACCGAGTGAGTCTCAATTGACATTGTCGGAAAGATCCGTCGTCACAGAAATGCTCCGACTTTTGTGTAGCTGAATCCTGTCGGCCATGCGCCGTAGCCGTCAGTTTCTCTGGCTCTGTTCGAATATCCAACTTGGACTATGTCCATCGTCCAGATTCCTCCAAGGTGGCCCCATATGGTTTTCCCGACCGGTGCTAACGGCATGTGCGCAAAAGGGTTCTCAGCGAACGGCATTGCCAATGTATCAATCTGATCTGTACATGATAAGGGTGATGATGGAGATAGTGGAATGCGCCACGAGATCTCCAGCATGACGGGGGTTGAATCCAGCTCCTGTCTTCTCAAACAACGCTTTGTAAATCCAATGTACAAGTCGTCTCGTCGTCATATGTCCATTAAATAGTTTCGCTCAGCCAACCAACTCCTCGAGATGCGGCAAATGGGGTTGGAAGAGACCATACATGTGTCAAATCATCCCGCGCATGGCCCCGATAGCTGCCCCAGCGCCTGCGGCATAAAGCATCCCGGGACAGGCTGTCTGCCGAGGACCTTTGTTCCCAACTTGAATGATACCACCAGTCCCAGTCGTTGTGGTGGGGACAACTCCAGAGCCGCTTCCGAATACGGTACACTGGCTCACTTGTTGTAGACCAGAACATCCCACCGAGCTGAGGGAACTGCAAATCTCGCTTGCCGAGCTGAGTATTGTGCCCGAGACTCCTTGGACCGTTATGCCTCCACCAAGACCACCTATTGTGACTCCATTGGCCCCTGCCAAGGAAGTGAAGCAAGCCGTCGAGGCAGATTGGCAGCTTGTGAATGCGCTGGAACATAAATCGGCATTGGGATATGAGGTCGGTGCGTAGACAAACGGATAGTAGGGATTGTTCACTGTCGAGCCGCCCCCAACCACTCCTGTAATCGTCACGACTCCGGAACTCGCCGTTGTACCTGTCCCTGACGCTGACCCTGTAGATGATCCAGTTATAGATCCCGCTATTGTGCCCGTACAAACTGCGTTGGACGGACAACAGGCAACATGTCCAGCTTGATCCAAAGCACAGGTTGTATCCGAAGGACAACAGACATTATTTGCTCCTAGCCCCGAGCAGGAGTTGAGGCCCGCTTCACAACCCTGCCGTTTCATGAGAAGTGCATCGTTCGACAGGCCGAAGAGAGGGTTTGAATAGGGCGAGTATTCATCGGCTGAAGCAGCCGCAATGCGCAGGATCGAGACCAATATCCAAGGCACTCGGGGACGCATTTCCGGTGACCGTTGGACTCGTCACGTTTTGGAGGGGGAGTTGTTTAACGGCGAGGCATTGGAGATCGTGGGCTGGACTGCGCACTGTGTGTCAAGAATGCTCGAGGTTGTAAGTGAGCCGCCAGCCTTGAAAAGAGGAGTGTGTACGGAGTACGAGGTATGTGTGGGTGTATAGTGCAAAGGGCAGACTTTGAGTTCAATGAACCAAATTGATACTGACAATAAAGGACGAGGATAGTTGCTTGCAATGGTCAAAATCAGACTGCAAATTGAGAAGACGATGCATCGCTAATAGCACTTCAGGTGAATCTTGTATCGGGAGCGCAGCTTTGTGGACTTATTGGGTGACCACAGCAACGGCGCCACTTGGCCGAATGCTCTCTCCACACGCACACGCCCACGCCCACGCCCACGCACCTCAATTTCTCCTTGATTCTTTATTCTTCACATTTCGATGCGCTCATGATGGTGACGACGGTTGTATGATTACCACCGATGCATTGGGCAGCACGACGAGTCCTCTTTAAGATTGCGCTTTGAGCCTCATGTCCATGGATGAGACTCTCTAGCCGCAGGGTAAGCCCCCAGCGAGCATTTCCTCACCTATCCCACCATGTGATGACCCCCAAAGTGAATTCTGCAATTCTGAAAAATGCTCAAAGTCTTGATGCGGAACTCCCTATCTACACTTGATCTGACCTAGTCACACAAACCTTCCATGATGCTTGCAGGAATTCAGTGGCCATCTTGCTGACTGTCACCTTGATAGGCGCTGTTGGGTGTCAAGGGGCGCTTGCTGTTGTGGGCAGTCGACCATGCGAGCCCAATCTCCATCCATACGATCAGCTTGGGTGGCAATGCCAGAGCATATTGGGCATCACGCGGAGTTTGCGTCTGATTCATTGGAATGCCTGTCAATGTGTTACAGCGTAAATCACATTGTTGTGTGCTATGCAGGCCAACACCCAGAATTCTGTGCCGAGTCCTCCAACGCCTGAGCTTCCAGAAGCTGCCTCGAATACTTCCTGATCCGCAGCCGGGCGAGGTGGTTTGCCGAGTGGTCTCTGGTCGTCACTGGGCTTCTCTATTGTTGCGCACAGTGCCATGGCATGTAGAAAAGGTGCCGCACATGCTGGTCACGCTGCAAAAGTATGTCGGGGAGTGAAACGCTTCTTGACTACCTGTATTACTCAAGAACGAAAAACCTAATTGCCCTGTACGGTTCGATCCTAGAGGGTGAGTAAAGGCCGCTCTAACCTGAGCTTTAACTTCAGCCCTTGGCTGAGCATCCCCGAGCACTCCCTGAGCACTCCCTGAGCACTCCCTGAGCAAATGCAGCGGAGCCCAATCTGGCGTCCTAGCGATCGGCTATGCACCTGGTTCAGATAGGGGGTCAGGAACAATCCTACAGGGCTTGTTTTGGGACCCAGAGGGTGCCGAAATAGATCCCTTTCAAGGTATAGAATCTCCTTTATAGATGGACAAAGTAGGACTCTTTGAGTTAAAACTAAAAACGGCTAAGAGCACAAGAAAAAAAAAGCCATATTGAACCACACCCGATTTGAACGCTGGAACTAAGGTCAGAGGGATTATTGAATGAAGAAGTGCAGGAATTCACGTACGATAACCTTTCTGGTAGGCGGTCAGTGACTATTATCAGAAAATGACCTTCATGAGCATGCGACCTCTCGACTGAGTTGGCGACTCCATCATAAGCCATGGACTCGACTCAGACGATCGAACTTCACCGTCATAGTACTACTCAACCACTCGTGATCGAGACACAGATCCTATGCTCGTTGAGCTATTTCGCGTGCTCGAAGAACGGCTGGCAAAACAACTAATCAAGTCAAGATTCCTCTCACTTGCACTGATGTCCTCTTTTTTCCGGCAGCGTGTCGAACCTCGACACATCACGAGTCTCCTCGAAGATCCTTTACGCCTACCTGATCAGGATCTAAAGGCCTTATTCCGTTTGCGAGAATGTATAGAGCATCGAACACATCAAAGCAGCACAAGAAGCATGCGATACTATATGCGATCCTTCTCGATGACCGTCAAGCAACTACGGGAAATTTTCGCGTTCATGATATCTAACAGTCTTGGTTACCGAAAGCTACTCGTCCTATTCGACAAGACTTCTCCCTTCAGAGATGATGATATGTTGTTCCTGCGATACATTGGCAGGACTCGGCGTGATCCTTCCAACGCCGCCAGGAGGATATACGTAAAGGAGGACCCAGCAACTTCCTCTACGCATTTATGCTCACTGCTGACCGTCTCTTCCCTGCCATTGTTGACAGTTGTACAATTTTTGAATTGGAACAATTCCAGCAGGAACCCGATCTAGCGAACGACGCTCTCAAAGCGACGCAAACTCTTCCGTCGATCTCTAACGAACAAACAAATATTTTAGAGCTGGAGGATCTATGTGAACAGCTTTTGATGGCTCTTTTTGGTCTGGACTTCGTCTTAAATACTACAGTGAACTGCGCTTGGTCAGCTAATGGTTCCGCGCACGACACCTAGGTAGGCTGTGAGCGGACATTTTATGGCGGGTTGGATATACCCAACCGGGCCTAGGTTGAGATCCTCATTGCTACTCACAACAGACCACCCTGCTTCCAGCAACGATATATAGTGTATATCCACACATGTAGGCAGGCTGTTTCGCTAGTGCAGGTAACGAGAATATACACAATATACGAGACAAGAGTACATACTGGGGCACTGGCTCCTCTACCTTCGGCGTCCGTTCAGTCGGAAACTTGCCGAAGTTCTCCAGATCCTCCCGCAACACTAAGGACAATGACCAGGCACCGAGGACCGCCTGAAGATTTTGAGCTTTTGGTCCTTTTCCTCTGTCTGGAACCCCTTTTCAAATCTGAAGAGCGGGATAATGGCATGCACGCAACGATATTACAGAGAAGCAAAAAAAGCTACTTTTGAATGTCCGTCTGGTATCTGTCCTCGTATCAGCGTATCCAGTCCCAGCGAATTTGAGCTCTGAATCATCAGCAGCTGCCAACAGCCAACTTGTTTTCTTATTTGAACTCCACTGCGGAGGACCTCATGCATCGGGCAGAGCTTCCGAGCAGCCATATCCTCCTCTGCTCGTGCTTCGACGCCCTTTCAGGCATCCTCTTTTACTCTTTACTTGATTTAGGCATTCCAACATGGGTGTCAGCCAGCCATGTGCCCCTCAACAGCGGGAGACGCCGCCAACGGTTGGTGAAAACGACCAGGGACCGTGGCCGGTCTGTAGCAGGTTTACGTGGGTTTGGCGGACTTTCTTTTTCGAAGGAATCACATATCTCGCGCTCCCCGATGATGCTGGGTCCTGCAGGCTCTCGTCACTCGTCACTGTCTCAAATTGTGCCTTCTGCAGACCGAACAAGCAAGCAGATTGGACAGGACGTTGGACTTTCCGAATACCAAGACTAAGCCGCAAGCAGCATCTTGATTCAGACCTGCCAGCTTGTCAACGGTCTCCCAGCCGTACACGTACGAGGTACGAAGTACACATACATCTTTGCCAGCACAAGTCCTCGCTTCTCACAAGCCGCAAGTTCTCTTTTGGGAAGCACTCGAACTTTCTTCAAGTCCTTCAAGTCCTTCAAGTCCTTCAAGTCCTTCAAGTCCTTCAAGTCCTTCAAGTCCTTCAAGTCCTTCAAGTCCTTCAAGTCCTTCA